TCTTCCTAATCTAACTGCAAGGGACTGAGCGGAATCAGTTTGTTTCCACACACCAGGAAGAAAAGAAACAATCACTCCAGACGACTGGGCACAGGCAGAGGGTCAATCCCACGTCGAGGGGTTTCCCAGGCTCTCAGCAGGAGACCCTCCTGGGACACACTGGCTGCAGAGTTCAAGTTCAGATCCAGCTCTGGCCTCCAGGGCAGCCGTAACAGTGAGGGGTTAAGCCTCAAAACTCCTTTCCAGTAAGGCTGGAAAAAATTAATAATAATCCCTCCCCAGAGTCACCATGGTCCTTCGGGGCCTGGAGTAATGGGAACATAATTGAGCAGGAAGCATGCCAACAGTGACTGTAATGGGAGCGCGGAGAAGAGAATCCACTGGGATTCCGTGCCAGTCACGGGCTCGGGCTTAAAGAGAAGATGACTAAGGATGACTTCCTAACACGTGGGGGAGTCAGAGAAGGAACTGAGGCAGGAAGAGCCCAGAATGTCCCTTGAATAGGTTTCCCAGCGCCAGATACCCTATGAGACAAATTCATGGAAAATTCGGTGGAGGCCAGGTTAGGTTTCTGATGGTGTGCCAAGGACACTTCAATGATCGAAATGATTTTCCAGTGACCAGAGGAATTAGAATTCAGCTCTGGTAAGGCCTGGAAATGACGCCCCAGGGAGAACCCACAGGAGGACGGGGGCAACCGACTTCCTGCTATTTGTGTCTCTATGGAAAACAGAAAAATCAGGACTGTATTTGAGATTCCCTCCCTTGAGTCAGTGATGCACACACAGCCTTCTGCTTGCCTGTGGATATGGCCCACCTAAAGTTTGTAAGCCAGTTTCTAATTGCAGCCATTAATAAAAATTAAATTATATAAATTTACAATTTAAAAAATTATATTAAAACAAAAGAGATGAGTACTCAAAACTCCTCACTTCCTAATTATTTTACTGGAGTTCACTGCTGTCTCAGCTCGTGGGGTTATTAGCATCTGTACCTGTCTCCTGGAAATGCTCTACAATGGATGCTAGGGCACAGTTCTCCCGACTCCCTGCCAGGGCATCGTGGTGGCAGCTTGGAATGAGCCAGGGTGGGGTGCTTCCATCATGGAAACAGCAAATGCTAGAAAGCGAGGCTTCCCTGTCCCCTCCTCCTCACCCCCCTTGCAAAGCCACTGCTAAGCCTACCACAAGTGTTCTCCAGCTCTGACAAGCCTCCATGCAGGAGAAATGAGAAAAGACTGAGGGTCCCTGAGGCAAAATGGGCGGAGCAGAAAGCCCCTCCCTCTCCCCCAGGCGTGGTGGGCGCTGGGACAAGGACTGCCGTCCAGCCTCAGATCCCGGAACCTTCCCTCCCCGCCCTGCTGAGCCGCCCTCCTGGAAGTTGTCCCCAGCGTCTCTCTGGAATCTCTCTTACTACTTTTTAATGAACTTCTCTTGCCAGAGCCCGGCTGCTGTCACCCTTCACATGAAGACTGAGGCTGAGCGTGGCTCACTGGTTCCTGGAATGGGGAAATGACGTCATTCAGTGCAGCCTGCTCTGCCAGCTGGCTGCCTCTGCCCCTGCCACCCAAGGAGGCTGGAGGCTCCTCACACCGGAAGGGCCCTTCTCCAGTTATCCTATTCAGTCCCCTGCCTTACGGGCAAAAGTTTGCAGGCCCAGCGCCCTCTCAAAATCTAACCCTCTGTGAAGAAGTCATCTCATGAATACTCATAAATGTGTCCAAGGAAGTGAAGGGATGGATGGTCCCTGCACTCATCTGCTCCCCTCACCGTTCAATCCCCTAACCACGGTACCCCGCGCATCTCCCATGATCCCGAACCTCCCACCCCCTACTCCCAGACATTTGTCCCTGGGTGCCTCTGTCCCATCACTGTCCCTCCCTTCTCTTCCCAAGCTCTATCAGGGCAGAGCCAGCACTGCCAGCACTTCCTGCAAATGCCTTTACCACCTGGAGGGGCTTTCCAATTATGTAAAACCAAGCAGCGTTTCAGGGCTTCCTCACTTAAGAAACTTGAAAGCATCCATACCCTGTACTCCAAGTGGCCACCCAGTCAAAGCAGGGAGAGTTCAGAAGCCCAGCTTCTCCTCAAGGGAAAGAGGCCAAGAGAGAAGGAAGTGCCTGGGCTCTAACAGGCAAGGTGGCCAGGCAGAGGCAGGTAGCACTGAGTGACCTTGAGACACTGTGCTCTTCAGAAGACCTGCAGTCCCTAGACCAGCCAGGAGCCCCGTTATATGCCTATTGCAGCCATCCTGTATGGGGTACAACCACTTGGTCCACTAGAGGCCAATGAAATGGCCGTGTGATTCTTAAGGGTCCCTTTGAGTAGAGCTTGGACCAAGGGATAAAAGCTATATGGAGACAAAAAGTGGGTTGGATGGAAGAAATATTTCTCTGACTGTCAGAAGCCAAACGGATCGCTTTGGTAGGTAGTGAGATGCCAAATGATGTGTCGGGCAGTATTCAAGAAGAGGTGGGAATAGGCTTTGTCAGGAGTTGCTGTAGAAGGAATTCAAATATAAGAGAAACATCCTGATGTTCTGGAGTCACACATGCCTGGATCAACACCTGAATTACCTTTGTAGCCCTGGTCAAGATATCTGATCCCTCTGAACCATTTTGTTCACCTCTACAATGGAATAGATAGAGCACAGCTTCACAGGACTAAAGTAAAGTATTAAGTAAGATAAAATACTGGAAAGCACCTGGCACTTAATAGATGCTCAGTGAATGTCAATCCCCTTTCCATTAAACGGGCGAGTAGGTTAGATTCCTTGAAGGTCTTTCTACCCTAGAGTATGACTCTGAAACCCTTAGTGATTGGTGAAAAGGAAGGCATCCATTTGGAAGCGGTCAGGAAGTCAGGATCGGTAGATGAGGCCAGGAGAGAGGATGCTGAGAATTCACAGGGGAACATTCAGGAAGGTCACCCCCGCCAGTTCCTTGCTTCCCTTCTGCTGACTTCCTGGAATGCAAGAGAAAAGCAGGGTTCCGGATTTAAAATCCAGCCTGCGAGGTCCCAGTTTCCCCAACTGCATGGTGAAGGAGCAGGATTGGACAGCCCCTTCCAGCCCCGAGGCTGCGATCTCAGCAGGGAGGGGCGGATATGATGCCGGCACGATGCGGGACCGCAGGGGGCACCCTGCCGCATCCCAGAGCGGGCCCTCCACCCGGACGGACCCCTTGCCCAACCCTTTGTGCAACCACAGCCGCCTCAGCTCAAGTCTTACAGTTTCTTTATTGTGCCAACGCTGCCGCCTTGGAGCTCGGATCTCTCACTTGAAACAGTCCAGTCCAGACCCCCGCCCACCCGGCCCCGGGGCCCTCGGCCTTCGCTGGGACACCGGGCCTGTAGCTCCTACCGCTCTCGACCCTTCCTCCTCCCTCCCTCTCGGGAGCTTCGGCTCAGGGCGCTCCGCCCACCAAGCTTGCTCCGCCCCCGACCCCTCCCACTCTGGGGGAGGAGGCTCTGCCCCTCGGGGTCTCCCAGGGGCGGTGCCTTCGGACACCGCCGCCTGGACGCGGGCTGGGGAGGCGCGGGCCACAGAGCGTCCCCAGCTGCGGGCAGAGAGCTCCGCACCCTCTTCCCGGCCGGGGCGCAGCCCGACGCCGCGCGTCGCGCTCACACCAGGAGGCCGTCCCTGCCCGGCAGCGTCCCCTGCGCGCAGTCGACGGGTTCGGCGCTCTTGACCTGGACGTAGACCGGGGAAGGGCCCGCTTCGCAAGCGGCGGCGGCGGTGCGGGGCGCCAGGGCCACGTCCTCGGGGCCGCCGCGGTGCGGGCGCGCGTACTTGCGGCTCGGGGAGCGGCTGACCGTCTGCGTCGGGGACCCCAGGAGCCTGGGGACGCGGCTGCGGCGCCCGCCGGTCTTGCACCCGGGCGCCACGGCGTCCTCTCTGTGGGAAACAACAGGCGGCGGGTGAGCGGGCTGCGGCGCGGTGCGGCGTGGGCACGGCCTGGGTCTGCCTCTCGCCAGCCTCTGGGCTCCCGCGCCGCCCGCCATGCGCCCCCGCCCCTCGCCTCTCGCTCAGCCTCGACCTCCTCTCCTCTCCGTCTCGTCCTGGGCCGACGACCCCGCGGCGTCCCCAGCCTGCAGACCGCTCGTGCACGTGTGTCCGGACAGCCCGCGGCCGGCGGCCCCACCTGGGCGCCTTCCAGGCCCCTCGCGTCTCCGCAGAGCCCCCGGCTTTGACCTTGGAGGCCCAGGCGGGGCTGCCTTCCCTGACCGCCTTCTAACTAACCCTGACCTTACCCCCTCTCTGCCTTCCCCTCACCTCCTGCCTCCTTCTCCATCTTTTCCTCCAGCCCTAGGGCTCTGCAGGCGTTGGCACTACTAATCTTGTTCCTTCTTATTTCTGGTTGGTGTCTAACATAAGCTGCTGGCACTACTCTTGTTATGAACTTCTTAAGCATGCCCGGAGTTCTCACCGGCGCAACACAAGGGGAACGTGAAAAAATACAGTCCCTGCCCTCCAGGAGCTTACAGTCTAGAGAGGACAGACAGGCAGACAGGTGCTAGACAGGAGGGAAAAGGAGGGCAGGGGAGCCGAGGCGCAGCTGGGCGTGGGGCGGGGAGAGGGAAGCCATGCGACGCGTGGCAGGTCGACATGCTGCAGTCCCAGCACTCTGAGGCGATGGCGGGCGGGGTGGGGGTGGGGGTCCCAGCAGGCTGGCGCGGACAGGGTTGAGGAGGGCAGGGCGCCGGTCCCCTGTGTTGGTCCCCTGTGTTGCAGCAGCACGCAGCATGCATCAGGTTTTACCTGATCTCACTAGCCAAGTCACCGCAGGCCCCGCCGCCGACCCCGCCGCTTTTGCCATAGCCGAAGGCACCGCGGGTGCCAACCCCGGCGCCCCCGCAGCAGCAGCAGATGAGCCCCCAGATGCCCACTATCAGGCACCCCAGTATGAGCAGGGAGCCCAGCACCGCGCCGACAATCATGCCGATGCGTCGGGAATCTGTGGAGAAAGGGAGAGACCAGTCAGGCTTTCTGCAGCCCAGCCATACCCGGCTGGCCAGGAGGCCCCAGGGCAGGTGACTGGGAAAGAGGGCCAGGGTCCAGCGTCTCAGGGCCCCAGAACACCCAGTGAGGACAACGGGAGAAGCTGTTATGGCTTAGGTTTGCATCTTCTCCCAGGCTTGCCAGCTGCCCTAGGCACCAATGACAATGGGAAGGCAGAGCCAGCTGGGGCTCCAAAACACAGCCCCGACCCTCCCAGCCTCGTGGCCCAGGGGCCTCTGCCACCGTATCTACCTGACACCTTCACCTCCACCACACACACGCTGTAGCCCACGTGGTTGGCCACCGTGCACTGATACAGTCCATTATCCTCATGGGAGATGTCTGTCAGCACCAGGTCGCCGTTGCTCAGACCTGAAACTGAAGTGGCATCAGAGGGCTAGAGTGAGGTGGGGGGTCCTGGGGTCTGACAGCCCCACTCCAGCCTGGGCCTCTGTGGAGGGGAGGACGGAAGGGGCAAGGTGTATGTACGCATACGCAGGTCCACTCCACCCTCCAGATGGGTCACCTTCCCCCTGCTGAGACAGAGAGGCAGGAAGGACCCTTCTCCCAGCAACAGGACAGAGACACCTTGATGCACTCTGTGTTCCCTCTCTGGGCCTTCGTCTCCTCTTTTGTACAGTGAGGCCAGGGTTAGACCAGAGGAATTCTAAGGTCCCTTCCAGCTCTGGTGCTCTTGGTCAGATTATGCACACTGTCCAGCTTCCCTGCGTGCCAGCAGCTTCACGCACTTCCTCCCATTCAATCCTCACATGCCCCTGGAAGGTAGACCTGATCGTTCCCTTTTCATATGTGGTGGAACCAAGACACCGACAGGTCAAGCCACCTGCTGGAGTCTTGGCAGCCGGTCAGTGGTCCAGCCAGGATCCAGGCCCAGTTCTGTACCTCAAGCCTGTGCTTGTCCATATTAACCATACTGACCTACCACGACCCCTGCACTCCCACTTGGCGTTCTCTCCTTCCCTCAATAGTAGCTTCAGGAACAGGCCCAGAGAAAGGATCTCCCCAGGGGTTCTAGGTTTGACTGTGTGCTACTGGTGACCGAGGGAGGCCCCAGTAGGTGCCAGAGTCCCACCCATGTGCTCTTACATCCCCACTCCCAGGGCCTCCTCACCTTGATTCATGGAGCTGTGGAAGGACTCCTGGTAGGAGAGCTCAGAGTGGAAGCTGTGCTGGGAATGGTAGGACCCAGCACGGTAGGGGTGGGTGTGCCCACTGATCTTGGCCCACCTGTAGGAGAGAGGTGGGCTGCCCCCGTTGGCAAAGCACTTCAGCACCACATCGTTGCCATGTGTCATGTGGCCCTCGGTCCAGCACATGGGCACCGCCGGCCGCGCTGCAGAGAAGCAGGCAGTTGTGAGCCAGTGCCCAGCTGAGGGGCAGACCAGGTACAGGGTGGCCAAGCAGCCCTTGGCTCTGCCCTCTGGGGAAGAGGTGCCCAGAGAAGTCAGGCCATACCTTGGACAGTGACAACGACCTTCCGGCTGGCCATAGTGGTTTTCTTCACTCTGCACTCATAGGTGGCTGTGTCGGACACCTGCAGGTTCATGAGGTTGATGGAGGCGTCATACTGGCTGGGGTCTGTGGCTGCAAAGCGGACCCTCTGCTGCAGGTGGGGGAGGTTGCCATGGTTGACCCTCTTGTCCTGGTAACTAAGGAACTGTGAAGAGCAGAAGAGCACAGATCTGGTGAGGCAGGCAGAGCCAAGGAGGGCCTGTGGGCCAGTTCACCTCCCCGAACTCCTCTGAGGCTCAGTTTTCTCTGCTGAAAAATGGGAATGGCAATGCCATGGGGCAGGGGTAAGCTCAGGCGAGGAGTTTCTGGGGGCAGGGACCATGCCTCATCTTCCCTCTGGAGGGTGGGGGCAGGTGGGCCACCTGGCTGTTTTGATTTGTGACTGCAGAGCTCTCACCCCTCTTACCCCATTCCCTGAGAGGACTTGGGGAAGTTCAGTCTTGGTTTTCTCACCTGCCCTCTCTTGCTTCTGAGGGTGCTGCCCACGAAGTGTAGGGCAAGGGAAACCCTGTGCCTCGTACTCACCACATTCTCCCGATGTGAGGGGTCTGAATTGACCTGCATCCACTCAATGTCCAGTGCATTTGGACCGTAGTCCTCAGGGTCCAGGATGTAGGGGCAGCCCAGTCTCACATTATCACCTTCCGCCAGGTACAGGACCTCCTGGCCATCCCCATTGATGCGCACAGCAGACAGCAATGCTAGGGGAAGGGCAGGGCACGGGTGAGGGAGGAGACCCAGGGCTTGAGAGGTCCAGTCAGCCCCTCCCTTCACCTTTCCCTCAGCAGTGAGCCAGGGCTCCGCAGGTGGCCTGTAGGGAGAAGGGGCTGCTCTGAGTGTGTGTGTGTGCACACATGCATGCACATGCACGTGCATGAATTGGCATGTGCATGTCTGTGCATACTTACGTAAGCATGTCTGTATTCTAAGATTGTGTAAGATTGCATCTGAATACTTTTTCTATAGATAACAGTTGTTATGTGTGCTTGTATGTGTGCATGATTATATATGCATGTATTAATATGTACACAGAGGTACATTGTGTGCTTATGAATATAGATACTTGTTGTGTATGTGTACTGTAAGGATATTCATGCACATGACCAGGTAGGGTACCTGCTTATGTATTTAGACGATAGTGCATATATGTGTGTTGTGGAGGGGGGCAGGTGGAACACATAGAGTTATTAAAGGCTCTGATGGAGGAGCCTAGCCTGTTAAAAGCCACCTCCCTGGGTCAAGTGAGATACTCCTGTCTGGGGGCAGGAGGATGGACACCATGACCTCTGGAGTCCTTTCCAGCCTGAGAGCAGAACCCTGGATGGGTCTGTGTGTGACAGTGGGCGTCTGTGGCTGTATGCTTGGGTGTGGCAGTGTGTGTGCCTGTGTGTGACAGTGGGCGGCTGTGACCAAGAGCCTGCCTGTGTTTGTGTGTGATGGTGAATGATGGTGCATGCTGGGGATATGGTCACATGCATCTGTATGACAGTGTGAGCCTTGTGTGGCAACAGGTGGCACTGTGGACTTCGTGTCCTTCCCCTTGCATGAGTGTCTGGCTCAGTACAGGCCCTGCCATGCTGGCTCCAGTTGGGGCCCCTCCCGCTCCTGACAGCTCTAGCGCCACTGAGTCAGCGCTGGGTGAGAAGCTGAGATGTGGAAGCTGGGGAGTGAACAAGCTGCCCAGAAGCCCCAGGCGAGCACTGGCCCCAACTGGTTAGATGCTTAGATAGGAGAGGAATAAAAGGGTGGTGTAAGCAGGGTCCCAGTGAAGGCTGAGCTGGGCACACAGGCAGGCTCCGCCCGCCAGTCTCCTGCAGCCCTCTTATCCCCAGGCCCCTTGCCCAACCTGGCTCCCTCCCCTTCTGCATGCTCTCTTAAAAGTCAGCAAGTCTGTGGAGCCCAGCCCTGGCTCAGCAACTCATTCTGCCCTGCAACCCCTCTCTGGCTCTCTGGAGACCATATTTGCATTAGAGAGTGTTTCATGCACGAAATTACATGCTGTCACGACCCAACAAATCAGCACGTAAAACAAAAAACACTTACAGGCCTTCAGAGTGCAGATACCTAGGTAGTCCCACCCTCCTACCCACCTGGACAATGCCAGATTCAGACAGACATGCATCTGCATACAACACAGGTCCGTATTCATCCACTAGACAAACCCAGTGCACACAGTCCCCCATGTGGTCATTCAAGACCAGACATACCTGCAGAAGCTTAGCCTGGTTCTAGAGAGCCGGCAGGGCCCTTTCAACATCCCCAGCACCTCTGGCATTGCTGAATTTGCCCCTGGGAACCCCAGCTGGGCGCTCAGCCATGCCCTAATCCCACTCCTGGGTGGCCCAGGGCCCACAGGCAGGCTGGCTGCTGGGGCTCTAACGGGACCTGGTGATGCCACCTCCAGCCCCAGGCCAAGTGAACAGACTCATTCCTGAGATAAGGATCCTGATACCTTCTGCCAGATCCTAGGGTGGCACAGGGCAAGCCAGGGATGAACCAGAACTCCGCGGAGAGCAGAGGCCCCACCTAGGGAAGCATTTTTGGAAGCGACCCATAATGAGGACTGTCCCCACCCAGGGAGCTGGCCACGGAAGGTAAGTGTTCAGGAAGGAGGGATGGGTGGGAGGAAGCATGCCTCCACCCTGCACTAGGCTGAGTGTCTCCCGTGTCCCAGGCCTGGAGCCTCACCCTACCTTTCAATCTCCCTAAAAGCTCTCTCAGCCCCCTCCAAGTGTCCCATCCTTTCTGCACCACACGCCCTCTCTCCCGGGGATGTCACTGCTGCTGTCTGCTGCGGTGCTCCTGCTGTGGCCCGGAAGAGGGCTTCCAGGGCGGGGGAGAGGGGAGAGAGGCTGGGGAGGAGGAGAAAAGCCAAACTGGGGGAGAGAGCGGGGCGCGGGGTGACGGGGGAGAGGGAGGCAGTCACCACAGGCTCCCTGAGGGAGGGGGCAGAGGCGATCACCTGTCCCCCACAAAAACACCAGGGGCCACCCTCCTCTCTGGAGGGTCAGCTCACTGGTAGTAACTACTCTCAGCTTTTAAGTCTGCTGTGAATTTTCCGGCTGCTTCCAGAGCTCCTAATCCCTCCTCTGGAGGGGAAGGAGGGGAGGAAAGGGAGGGGGAAGGTGGCAGCAGAGGGTGGCGGGGTCGTCACACACGCACCACGTGGGGGTGTCCCAGGCCCCCAGAGCAGAGCTGCAGCTCCCTGAGTGATCTCTGCCAGCCCCGCTCTCAGCACGCAGAGGGTGCTGCACACAACCTGCCCCAGAAATGCAGTCCTTCACACACACTCACATTCATACACAGGCTGAAAATGCACCCCCTTCCCTCCTCACCCCACCCCCACCCCCACTTCCAGAGCTCCAGAGCTCCTCCCTCCTCCCCTGCACCCTTTCATCCTGAATCTAGACCCCAGGAGAGACTCAAAGCCATTTCCAGCTATGGGCACACAGAATGGCCCTTGCTGGGACTTGCCCCAGGCTGGGCAGGCAGCCACAACATGGGATCCTGAGCCCTGCCCTCAGGGTGTGCCCCAGTGGGGTGAGGGGGCTCTGGGAGTTGCCATCCCCACCCTCCTTGGGCCTCATCCTGGAGGGGGCACCACCCTGGGACTCTTACAGAGCTGGGACGGGGAGCAGAGGTCTCAGGCCGGGGCTAGCTGGGAACAGCCCATTCAGCCTGCACCGGCCCAGACAGGCAGCTCCCTCCCCTCGGCTCTGCGGGCGGTGGGGAGGGCCCCCAGCTGGGAATGGCACACAGACTGACCCCAGGCTCCTCCTCAGCCCCCACCCAGCTTTGCTACCCGCCAACTCTCTGACCCCTCTCCCTGTCCCCACAGTAACTCTGGGCCAGCTGTATCCTCACGCATGTCTGTGTGCGCCCCACACAGCTCCCCAGCACCATGCAGATCCAGCAAAGACCCTCTGCCCCATAAGCACGAGCCCCAACCCTTAGGGCATGGGGCTCTCTGGGGAGTGTCCCCGTTTGGCAATTTCCAAACCCCAGAGGCAGCAGGGTGAGGGTGGGCAGCACCCTACCAGGGCAACTCAGATTGCCTTCCGTGCTCCTCTATGAGCCCTCATAGCCCCTTTCCCTGCCCATCTGGCATATTGTGGGATCCCTGCCAGATGCCCAGCCCCATACCTGGGCTCAGGCACGCGAGCAGAAGGTGGAACGCTGCTTGATCTCCCATGTCTCTAGGCTTGGCGTTTCCTCCGCCTGGACCGGGTGTCCCTGGGCCGGCGCTGTGGGGCCCGTGGTGGTGGGCGTGTGGGGACAGGTGGAGGGAGGGGAGCTGAGGGCCCAGACACTGTCCCGGGTGGCAGGAAGGCACAGTGAGTGCCTGGCTGGGCAGCAGCAGGAGTTATTTCTATCGGAGGGAGGGGGCCTGGTCCCGGCCTTGGGGAGGAGTCCCAGGAACCCTAATTATCAGGGTGACAGAGTGGCCTACCCAGGCATCACCCAGCCTTCACCCAAGCTCTTCCCTATCCCAAGAGTGGCGCAGGGCGGCCAGTGGGACTTGTAATTAGGCACCTGTTAAACTTCTACTTCCTCCTGGCCCCAACCTCAGGGTGACAACAGGCGCCCCATTTGGCGTCCATGGACCCCCCTCACCACTCATTTGTTGCCTCCTTCCCCGGAAAAAATGGGAACGAAAAAGGAGGTGCCAGGCCTGGGGAGGGAGGGTGGCTAGAGCCTGGCACGGGGGTCTGACCCCCACCCCCACCCCACCCAGGCCAGGTCTGTGGGGAGGGGCATCAGGGAAGGGGACCCGGGAATGCCCGGCATCTTCTCCCTGAGGCTTCCCCCTTCAAAGGGAATCAGGCCTCCTGAGCTAAAACAGGGAGGGAGGGGGGGTGCCTGGGTCCAGGGTCCTACCCTGGCTGCGCCCTCTAGAACTGTGCTCCCGTCCCTGGGGGTAGGGGAGCCCCTGGGGCCCAGGGGTGTTATGGGGGATCCAGCCCCCACCTCCCACACTGACCGCAATCCAGTTCCATGAGGCCTGAGAGGAGGCGAGCCGGGGTGCGTGGAGGGGGCAGGTGGGAGGGTGGGGAGGGTGAGGCGCTGCTGAAGTTCCAGGAGGGCCAGGGGAGGTGATGTGCCTGCGGGAGCGGCTGCCTGCTCAGGGATGTGCTGGCCTGTCTGTGCGCACCTCTGCTTGGGGATCGTTTGGGGTCTGGGCACAGGAAGGGAGGCCAAGGACCCTCATAACTGCACATTGGAGGGTTGGAACAGCACAGTTCTGGAAAGGCTGGAGCTGGGGTGCGGAGGCTCCTGGCAGGCAGAGGAAGAAAGTGGAGAGCCAGCCCTTGCTGGCTGGCCCAGGGGGCCCCAGAACAGGCTGAGGGCCTTCCCTGGACTCCAGGTCCACCGCACACCTGCTCCAGGTGGCGGTCAGGTCATGAGTGGCCCTGTTCAACACCCTCAAAGGAGTCAAGGGCCCTCCCCCACCCCTTCCAGGGGCACAGAAAGGGCACCTGGGGAGGGTTCAGGGGCTCGGAGGGTGCTGCCAGGGCCCACCCCTCCAGGAAACATACAACAGAAAATAAGGAAACACAAGGAGTCCATGCATCCCTGCATTCCGGCCCACACCCCCCACACGCCCCACACCCCCAACAATAATAGGGTGCTCTGGGACCCACCAGATGTACACAGTGAATATCCTTATTTCCTCATTTATTTGGAGGTTTATGGCATTGTCCTGCACACTGTGGAGGGCAGGGATCATTGTCCCCAGTTTATATACGGGGACACAGAGGCCAGGGAAAACATGAGGATCTGGCGTAGGTGATGCTGCTGGGGGACTAGACGGGGGACACCCAGGCACCCTGACTCTCAATCCAGAGTGGTCCAAGAAAGGGCTTGGTGACCCTGTGCATTACTAGACCTACCCAAGGGGAAAAATAGAAGGTGAGTGACAGGTGGGGGGAATAGGTGGGACTGGAAAAGAAAGGAGTGAGGTGGTGGTTCCATCAAAATGAAGTGTATCGGGTCATGGATTCTACCTAATGTTAGAGTAGGACTGAAGGGTGGGGCCAGTTGATTGGAATGATGAATGAGGTCGAGGTCAGATTTGAGCTCAGGATGGGAATTAAGGTTGAGATTGGGGCTAGACAATAGCTAGAACTGAGGCTAGGGTTAGTTAGTGGCACGGATCCCCGTTATGACAGGGACTAGGGTTTTAGCTCATTTACAGCCATACTTGGGAACGCAGTTAGAGCAAACCCAAGGCTGGGCTGAGATTGATTTAGGATTGGGGAGATGCATCTGGGTTAGAGCTCAGCTTGGGGTTCAAGTTAGAATAGACTGTGGTCTCAGGGTTAGAACAGGGGTCAAAGTTATGTGGGAAGGGGGACTCATGGAAATAAAAAATGAAGTTTCATTTGTGATTTAGAAAGACTTCAGCTCCCATCTGCTAAATACAATTTGGCTAGAATTTCAGCCCATCACTCCGGTAGACCAACGGCATCTGTTGACTGGGGGTTCCCAAAATTTGGGAGAGAATTCCAGGTATGCATAAGTCCATCTAAAGGGTATGAAGCAAGCAAATCCCAGCACACATGTGACCTCTGAAGTCCTGCTCCACACCCTAAGCTTGCTGCCCGGTCAAGCTCCCAGAAGACCATTTGGGGAAGGGATGCAGGAAACTATTAGCAATGAGTAGGGCTCTGACACCAAACTGAACTAGAAGATGGGGTCCATCAGAGGCAGTTTTCCTGGGGGAGAGGGTCCCTGGTTTTGCAGTCTAGGAGATGGGAACTGGGGAAGACCCAGGGCCTACATGTTCTTAGAACAGTCACTTTTGAGGGCTCCACGCAGGGGCCCCTCAAAACCTCAAAAGGCAGGGGGCACACTGTTGCTCTCCTTTGACACACTGTGGGCTCAGTGCCACCTTCTTGCCATCTGAGGCCCATAGAAAAAGCTATCAGCCTTCCTGCCTTGTGCCCTGAGCCCTGAAGGTTTTGTTTGTGGGGGAGGAGGTGGGGTGAGGGCAATAGGGTATCTTCTTAGTTTTCATAGCACAGGCCCAGCCAGCGGCCCCGGTGCTCTGGGACCGGCCCCAGCCCATTTCCCTCTGGGCTCACCCTCAGTAGGGAAAGAGGACCCACCCTTGGGAGCCCCCCACCCCGATTCCTCCCTCTCTCTTTTCCCCACTCAGTTTCCACCCCACATATTCCACTTCCCCACCTCCTTCCTTATCAGGTCCCATAAAGGTCAGGACAGATCTAGGAGACTATTGGGGTCCCTCTGTACCCCCATAGAGAAAGAGTTTGGGAGTGACTGATTAGTAAAGGGACAGAGAAACACCCATGGCATCCGAATGGCCCATCCAGTGGTTCAGAGAGAGACAGAGAGGAAGAGGGCCAGGGCTGTGATCTGGGACCCAACACACCAGTGTCCAGAAGTGCCCCTTGTTTTTCCCGGAGAAATCCACGGTTCTCCAGGGAGAGCGGCCCCTCTCTTGTGCACATCTCCCAGTTTGGGTTGTATTTGCTTCTGTACTAGGACAGAAACAGAAGCTCACAGACAGACTTGGAAGGGAGTGAACAGACACAGAGGAGGAGGAGAGAGATGAGACAAGGACCTGGAGAAGCCCAGGGACGCCTCGGAGGTGAGGTGCAGCCCATGCCCAGGAGTCTTGGGGAAGGACAGGCAGAGGCCCACCTCCTCGTCCTCTGAAGTGCCCTTCCCAGGGACTCCACCCAACCGCTGTAGGCCTGACCTCATCAGCTTGGGCCTTTGTTTGGCTGGCTCCAAGCCCCCATGTAGACCCGGGCAGCGGGCAGCAGGCCCCAGGGGTGACTGTGCAGAGAGAACCTCCGAGGAGGGGGCCGAGCGAGCTCACAGGACATGCTTACGGAGAGCCAGGGAGCAGCAGCCACCACTGCTGTCTCTCCTCCAGCTCTCAGAGGAGACACGGTGTTGGAGGGCCGCCAGGAGAGGCTGCGGCTGGACCAGAGAGACGGGCTTGGAGGTGGTATGGGTGGAGTGACTGGAGAATGCCGGGCTCAGACGAGGATGGGTCAGGTTAGCTATGGCGAGAAGGGTGAGACCCCCGCGTTGAGGTTCAGTTTCAAGAACAGGGTTGGGGTTTGGGGACTGAGGCCTGGGTCAGGGATGACGTGCAAGAGCTGACACGTGCTACCAGGGCCTCCCTGAGCCCCCGCTCAGGCCTCCCAGCCTCCTTGATTCCAGCTGGTCCACCTCAGAAGAAGGGGGACCCAAGGGGAGAGCCTGGATATGCCCAAATCTCCCCCACCAAGTGGCACCCTGGGTCACAGGAGCAAAGAGCACTGGAACGGACCCCATCATGGAAGGAGCGATCCGATCGGCAAAGCACCATGGCAGAGACTGGGTGATCAAGTGTTACAAGTTGGACCATTATCAAGGGAACAGTAGGAGAAAGAAGAATTCGCTCTTAAAGAGTGAGTTCCCAATGATAAGCCTGAGGAAGAATTAAGGGACCCTGAAGATAAAAGGTCCCATCGCCTTTCCCCTGTTCCCTGCAGAAACTTCCCCCACTCAGCCAGTGGGCCGGGCCTCTCGTAGGGCCCTGGGAAGCTGGGATCAGTGAAACTGTCAACCCTTTTGGGGCGCCCGGTCAGGTCTGGGAGTGATGAGCTACGGCCCTGTGTGGCAAGGCTCCCAGCCCAGGCGAAATGACGTTCACACACTGATGCGAAGGACGAGCCATAATGTGGGAGGAGCCAGGCCTTGTGGAGCAGCCAGTCTGTGCGTGTGTGGAGAGACCATGTGATCAAGTGATCAGGATGTCCAGTGAGACGCTGACCTTTGAATTTACAGAAATAAAATTTGCCTTTGGTTCTGTCATCTGAATTCCTCAGAGAACCCGTCAGTCCCCAGGGCGGCCCCAGGCCTGCCTTGCCTGCCTGGCATTGACAGGAAGGTGTGTGTCTGCTTCAGAGCCTCCCCACCAAGCCTCACTGAGTCCCGACCAGCCCCTCCTCTGCTCTCCGTGTTTGTTTCTGTTGCCTGGACACTGGGGAAGAGGAAGGAGCCATGGAAGGCTGGTGCCAGCGTGGGCGGGGCTCAGCAAGGCCAAGAGGACAGTGGGAGTGTTCGCTGGCAGGAGGGCAGCATGCCCAGCCCAAGGGGTAAGGTAAAAGGTTCCCACTCTCCTCCACAGCCTCCCCCAGCAACCCCTGCCAAGTGCTCGAGTGCTCGGAGGAGCCCTGTGTTTCCAGAACTTCAGGCCCCTCCCCACGCAGGGCAGGCTGCGCAGAAGCTGGGCTAGGAGATATCTGAAGGCGCATCATGTAAAAACAGCCTGGGCTTGTTGCCCCAAAGAGCAGAACTAGGGCCCCACTGTGGATGCGCAGGAAGAGATGAGGAACTTCGTGTGCGTTGGGGTTGACCTGAGATGGGCTGGGGTGCCTCCTGCGTGCCCTGCCTCTCGTGGTGTGCAGGCCCACACTGCCCGACCATTTGATTAGAGTTTGCAAAGCAGATTCAAGCATTGGAGGGTCTTTGAGGTCCCTTGCAGCCTTGAGATTCTATGATCTGGGGTTCACCCCCACTAGCTCCGGGACACTCTTTCCCCAGGGCCATGCAGAGAAGCTCATTAGCTCTGGGGAGTTTCTCCGGCTCCCCACTCCCACCTACCTACCCCCCTTAACTCCTTTTTCCAGGAGTCTTCCAAGAAAGCCACCACAAATCTTAACCCAGTTCTTACCCCAGCCTCAAAGTCATCAAAGAGCATTGAGGGGATGGCTACCCCTCTCCCAAGGAGAGGTGGAGAACGCAGGAAGCAACGCAGAGCGGGCCTCACCCGGAGAATATCCCAGCTGGGAGGGTGTGTGCCGTGGGAACCAGGACAGAGGAGGGGCTGAGCCATTTAAAGCCAAGCAAACCAAGAATAACTTAGAGCCTGGGACTCTAGATCCCTGTGATGTTGGAAATGAGCTTCTTCCAAGTAACCATGGCAGCATCCTAGGATGGGGACAAGACCTCTGGTCTGCAGTGAGCCTCCCCTAGACTCCCTCTCTGCAGAAGGTGCAGTCAGGAGAGATGAGAGTGATGAACCCCAAGGCCTCCACGCCCAGACTTCTCATCTGAAACTCTAGCGTCTCCCCTCCACTGTCACCTAAACAGCTGCCAAGCCTTCTCACCCCAAAAGCCCTGTTTGGCTTTGAACTCTCTGAGCCCCTTTCATCCAAACTTAATCAAAGTGCTTTTACAGAGACCAATGAATGCCCAATGATGGCCCAAGTCACACCTGGGGATGCTGAGTCTTTCAGGGCCCCTGGAGGACATCCCAGTGCTCCACTGACTCAGCGACAGCCTGGCTCAGCTGCTGAGTCAAGCCCAGCTGGAGCTGCTCCTGCCGCAGGTGCAAGGGCTCTGAGACCACCTCCAAGCCACAGTGGCGTGTGATGCCGGCACCCGGCCCATGTGAGCAGGTAGGGCGTGGAGCCCAGCCAGGAACAGGGGTACGTGTGTCCAAAGGCAGCTGCCTGCAGACTTGATTCCATGCTGGAGATGGAGCCCAACCACTGGATTTCCCAGACTGCACCAGCCCAACCTGATGCTGCAGGGATGGGAAGACCCAAGGAGCAGAGGAAAGAGGGCTAGGAAGTCAGTCATACAAGAAAGTCAGTAGCTTGGGCACTTTTTTTTTTTTGCAAGCTTCTAACATCTTTACATCAACAAAGATAATGCAGCAAACGGCACTGTTCTCCCCTTTGCAGCTTCCCAGACAGCCCTGAGCTGACTCCTTGGCCCGAAGAGGCGCACGGGGCTCATTTCCACCCCTGAGCACTAGGGGGAACGCTGAAGCAGTCCCTAGGAGAAAGCACCGCCCACCCGAAGGTCCGGCGTCTGGCAACAAGCCTGAGGCTGGCTGTTCCTGAGCTTGCGGGCTCAGAAGGTCCTCAAAAACATTCCGGTTTTCTCTTCTTGGTGTCCAGGCCCTGCCTCCACCCTCCACCCTGGGCTCACATGGTCCCCTGCTGGCTCCGCCACCACTAGCATTCAGCCTGACCTCACCAGCCCCCGCCTAACCCCAGGGACCTTCTCCCTGTAATTATCCCCTCTGCTATTCTGATTGAGAGGGGTGGCAGGTTTATAAAGATGCCTAGAAGTAGCCGGCTGGCCTCAGATGCCAGCTGCCTGTCTGGCTGTCAGAAGTGTCCCACTTCTAGGAACGAGGTTCCTGCTCGTGTGAGTCAGGCCAGTACTGAAGACAGAGGAAGCCTATTTAGGGGTTCTCAGGAATCTTGACAGAAGAAATCAAACCTCTCTTGCGCTTCAGGGGCCAACTCCAAGAATTCCTGGAGGAGGTTACTCCAAGGGCAGAAGTCCAAGACGCTTGTGCAAACCATCTTCCCCTATCAGAGGTGCCCATCTCCAAGGCCAAACCTTTACTCTTGTAACCTCTTCCTGCCCACCCCCACCATGTCCGGGCCATGTAGATATGTCTCGCTTTCAGACCTTGGGATCTGCCAGGCCCCACAGACCTGCAATTGCACCTGAACTAGTTCTGCTGAAGTTTCAGCCTTGCCTTCAACCTGTGAACTTGGCCCATGTTTCTCTACATGGGCATGGAACCCCCTTTCTTCTTGACCTGCATTCCAGGGAGGTGCATGCCCCCAGCCCTGAGATGGATGATGTAGGTAGGGAACTAGGCAAACTCCAGGCGCCCTGGGCTCTTTCTGGCCTCCCTGAAACAGGGAAGGGCTGGCTCCTTGGTCCCTGCAAGGATGCTGTACCATAGACGATGCTCAGAGAGAATCTACACAAGTAAGCCAGCCGCAGGAAGGTGCCAGAATCCTCAGTAGCACTGCCATGTCTTCTTTCCCACCCGAGGCCAAGTTCCACATCTTTCTGAGACCTTGAGAGAGGAAGGTATTGGCTTCCCTAGGTAGTGGGGGACACTGAGGGTGCTGAGAGGGAGGGTGAGAAAACCTCTTCCCCAAGCAGTGATGGGGCCAGGGGGTAGGAAAGTCTTCTGCAGTGGGGAAGGTGGAGAAGGCACCTCGGGGAGGCTGCGGATGCCCTGAGGGGAGGAAGCCCAGGAAGCAGCTTGCCTACTCTCCCTGAGCCTATAAAAAGAGGACTCTTGCCTGAGGCCCTTGTAACCTGGCGTTGTAAACTCCCAGGACGCCCCAGCAGCTGTCTTCTGCCTCCTCACAGTGCAAGACCTGTTGAGGAACTGGGCTCTGGATGTGAGGAAGGGAGCATGGGGGCTGAGGAATGGGACAGGGTGGTGGGGAGGTGCCAGTGACGGGAGTGCTTTCCCTCCAGGAATCACCCCCCTCTGTGGGAGCTAGCACCACAGCCCACAGTGGGGGCCAGGGTCCTTCCAAAGAGGCTGAGACCACTCTACAGGCACAGGAGATTTAGTGGGGAGCAACCAGGGGCGCAGGAGCAGACCGGCGCATGTGTGACACTGCCCTGAGGATGCAACCGGGCATGCTGTGCTCACCCAGCACCCGGTAGGCACTCAAGAAGTATTTGAATGAATGAGTGAATCAATGAATAGAGTATTTGGGGGAAAGTGAGGCAGGTGAACATCTGCATGGATCCAAAATCCCAACGGCTTTGGGGAGTCCCGCTTGTCAGCGTGAGGCACTGAGTGGAGCACGGCCGCTGAGTGAGGGTGCTAGCCCTCATGTTCCTGTGAGGTGTAGGGCCCTTGGCCGTGCGCTGTGGGGACGAGGTCTGCTGCAGCACTGCCTGGAGTTGAAAGGGCTTTGGCAGGAGGGGGCTGAGAAAGGAGGGTAAGCCCTGGGTTCAAGCACCACCCTTCCACCCATGTGATCTGAGTCACAGGAGTGAGCCCAGAAGGAGCTCTGCCTCGGTGGTCCTGGGACCTCCTCGCCTAGCTCCGCCTGGCCCAGCCCTCGCCCCAGCCCTTCCCTGGGCAGCAGCACAGGCCCCTTGCCCTGAAATGCCTCTGGACTGGGCACAGACTGGGGGCAGAGACAAGACTCACTGGAAGTGGACATGAGACTAGCAGCCCCAGGGTCCACAAAAAGGCCAGGAGATGCCAGGACAAAAGGAGCACCGAGCACCCCTCCGCTCCCCTTCCCCGAGCATCACACCACCACAGCCCAGCGTCCCATCACCTAGCCCGTCACTCCCACAGTCGGTGCCCCACAGCAGCCCCGTCCCCACACAGGAAAGCCAGCCTGTTCCTTAGAGAAATAGAAAAATTTAATCTGTAACTGAAATGTCTAAGTTAGCAGCAGTTATGGGCACCCAGAGGCTAGTCGGAACCCGTTCCCTGAAGGCATCCTAAGGGGCACTGAGGCCCCATCAGCTCACAGAGGTGGGTGGCAGGATGTTAGCCTTGCGCTCAGCTTCCACACAGTACTTCTCAGGAAGGCCGGTGGCTCTGCAGTGGAGACACAGGGCAGGGGTGAGGTGGGGTGTGCACCCAGAAAGGACGCAGCAGGAAGCAGGCCCTGAGTGGGGTCTATGGAAGCTGGGGGTCTGCACCCCTAGACCCATGCCACAATCTGTCCCCCAGGCACATTCCTGGCAAGCCTCCAGCACCCTGCCAAGTTGTCCTCAGCCAGCCAGGAAGCCCCAGTCCCGGAACTTTCTGCTGGAGCCCTTGGGAGGGCAGCAGCCAGTGTGAGCTGGTGTGAGTCGGGTGAAGGGGCCCTCCCTGAGCAAGCACCTGTCCCAGCCCACCGTGCCATCCCCTGGGGAAGCCGGGGACCTGGCGGGGAGGGATTCCAGGGTGCCTCAACTCCCCGAGCCCCCGCTGTGCACGCCGATGCCTCGGGGAAGCAGGAAGGCCGGGAGGAAGGGATCCCAGGGCACCTCAGCTCCTCCAGCTTCTTCCTCTTGATGTCGGCAATGCGTTCGCGCCGCTTCTGGGCCTCCTCTTCAAGGCGCCGGCCCTCCTCGAAGGCGGCGATCCGGCCCTGCACCTGCTTCTGCTGGTGCTCGCGCACCTGGCGCCGGAGCTCGTTGGCATGCTGTAAGCGCGCTGCCACCCTTCTCTCCTCCTGCAGCTGCTCCTTTGCCATCTGTTCTCTCTGTGCCCTGGGGGAGGCACACCGGTCGCTAGGCCAAGCTGGCCCTGCTGAAGAACGGCCCTGAGGAAGCCTCAGGGGCCCCTCCAGTGGGCATGCTGCAGAGGCCAAGGCGCTCCACACTCTCTGGACCTCTGCTGTCGCTCGGGGGCCAGCCCCAAAGGCCGCCCCCTCCCACCCAGCAAGACCATGGGCAGGCGGCTGTATGTCACAGGCATGCATGGAAGGGCCCTGTGCACGGAATGCTCTGCTGTCTCTGTTTTGAAACTCTTAATAATTTTTTAATGAGGGATCCCACACTCTCAGTTTTTACTGGGCCCTGCAAATTATGCAGCTGGCCCCACTCCCAAAGTTTCACCCAATGGGACCTACTGTTCCTACTCCTCTTTTCCGGTATAACAAAGCATGACTCCCCTGCAGCTTGTTCTTAGATACCCTCTCCTCTCCTCTCCTTCCTTCCCCGCAGCAACGACAAGGACAGGAACACACCAACGGAGGGGGTGCTCAGGAAGTTAGAGAAGTGGTGAGCTCCGAGACACTGACTCTCCTTAGCTGCTGGAGGAAGGAAGGAACCTGGCTTGATGTCTCTCAGCTGTCTGATTGGGCCAACTCTCCACATTCTTCGGAGCACAGGAATACGTTCATAGACCTTGACGGCAGGGGGAAAACAGCTTATGCAGACCTGTATATAGGCTCTGAAAATGCAAATGAACTGTAGTCACATCTCAGAGGAAGTAGTCATAGGCCATCTTGAGCTATCACCTTGGTTCCTTCTCAACATAATAAAAAACAAAAACAGAATGTAAAATCATCTTTGGCAGGGATTTTCACCTGCTCTCCTCCCCTGGGGTCACTCGTACCCCAACAAAGTTACCCAGAGCTTGGATTCCCTTACTCATTGGCCTCTAGCCATCTTCCAAGACCCACTGCACATGGGGTGTCCCCTCAACTCCCAGAAGCTCTACACCATGCAAGCACCTGCTAAAATCCAGCACCTTCTACAGAGCCTTCCCAGGTTACCCAAGAGAGCTGACTTCCCTTCCCTTCTGCATTTAGACCCAATTGCCACCACTCAGACACATCTGTGATTACAGGAAAACTCTCCTCTCCACCTAGCAGAGAAGTTTTCCATGGAAATGGGGGACCTGTATGCATCACTAGAGACCTCCCCAGGGGGTGGGCAGTTGAAAATCCAAATGGGACAAGCCTGGTCATTTCACAGGGTTAGGGCAGTGATCTCAGAGCCTGGCTGCATTAGAATCACATGCAAGCTTTCAAAAGCTACAGGTGCCTGGGCCTCCCCACAGACCAGTCACATCAGAATCTATGGAGTGGGAGCCAGGACAGGATAGGTACTTTCTGAAAGTTCCCAGGCATTTTCAAAAACCACTAGGGAGGGCAGGTCAGCTATCTGTGCTTAGTCAACAGGCTGGGAGTTAAAGGCACCCCTCTGCCCAGAAGCAGGAAGTCCACACATAGGCCATACAGGAGGCCATGCTTTTGAAGTAGAAAAGCTGGGTTGCTGTTTATGTCAGTGATGCTCCTGACACCTGAAGACACCACCATGGTGGTCAGGTGTCACTGGAGACACCAGGGCTAGACGCTAACCTAGAATGGCAGTGGAGTCGAACTTCTCCAAAGGCTGGTCCAGCTTTAATAACTGGCTAGCGTGTATGCTTCAGGCAGTCAAAGCAAAGAAGAGACAAATGGGTCAGTGGCAAGGCGGGACTTTAATCTCTTCCCATTAGTATTTATTAGTGTCTGCTCAAGGCAGGTGTCCAAGGGCACACAGCCAGGGAGCAGAGACATCTGAAAATTAGTCTGGAGCACAGGAGCAGAATCCTTGAGGCCATTAAGGAAGCTACCTTCTTCCCCAGGCATCTGCAGACCATGGCACAAACCTTGAAGGCGGGGGGAGCTACAGAGCCTAAGGGGACAGGCTGGGAGCCCACAGTCCAATAGAAGACCAGGATGGAGATGCCTGCAGATCTGCTCTGCCTCTGCTTGGGCACCTGGGGGCACTGGTCTGGCACACAGCTAACAAGGGCAGTACCAAGAAGGTGCCAGAGCACGCAGACCAGGGAAGCTGGGCCGCCCCACTCCATGTCCACTCACCTGAGCATCGCTTCTATAATTCCGTATCTCCCCCCATGCAAGTTTTGTTACCTTTTGAAGTCTGATCTCACAGAGACTGAACCAGAGCAAGGAGTCACTCCCAGTTAGGCCAGAAGTTAGAGCCACAAGAATACCCTGAGGGCCAGATCTGGTGGCGGCAGACCTGACTGCCAGAAAGCAGAGCAACTGTCACCACTGACAGCTGGGGTGGGGGAGGGAATGGGATAGTGAGAGACGTGAAAACTGCCCTTCGCTCATATGTTGGAATTACCACTGAGCCAAAAGAGAGAACAGAACTTAAAGGATAAAGGGCTGGCAGGGCAGGAAAGATCTATAACTGTAGGTGAGGCTCATACAAATACAAATCTCCAACAGCCTTCCCACATGAGTGGGCAAGGTCAGTGTTTGATTCATCCTAACAGCTCCCAGAGCAGCCAGCGCAGGGCCTTGAATGCATGTGCTTAATACGTATTTGTGAAACGAATGGCAAAGACCCCCGTTAAAGGCCTGCTCCACTGACTCACAACAGTGGTGTCTGACGTTCTCTCCATCTCTCCTCACCTGCATGGCTGCAGCTTCATCCCCAACTTGCAGGGGGCCATGGAGGTGGGGGAAGACAGGGCAACCGGATTTATACCTTTGCTCACACCTTTAATGCTCCAGGCTAGAAATCCCAAGAAGCCCCAGCCCCTTGCCCACTTCTGGGCGCTACTTTCCAATTGTGTCATCATAAAATTCTTGGCTCAGGTGTCATTGAAATATTTCAACCATCTATTAAGAAAAAACCCTCAATGCAGTCAAGATGGACATGCATCTGCCTGTGGACATGACCGACAGCTCCTCTCCACCCACTATGGACCATCCCTGCAGCAGGACAAGGAAAGGAAGCCAGGGTTCCCAGGCTCTCCTACCGAAGAATCCTCTCGAACTCATCGCGGTCCCGTTGCACCTGAATGGCCAGGGTGTGCTCCTTGAAAGCCACCTGTTCCAGCTGACTTTTCCGCAGTTTGGCCTCCATATCCACCTTCTTCTGGGCGTTCTCCTTCTCCTTTCTGCGCCACTCCCTTTCTGCAGCCTCCTGGTTGCGCTTAGCCCGCAAGGCATCCTAGGAAAGGAGAGGGTGAGGAGACCAGTGAGGGTGCACAGCAACCGTGGGCACCCAACAGGGGCCTTCGGGAAGAGCCCTGCCTCAGACCAACACAGCCCGCTTGGAGGAACTCCATGAATTTCTCTGGCAGCAAAGTTATTCTGAGAGGGAGTAGATGGAATCCTTGTCATGGAACTTTCAGGTCAGAAGACACCCTCGGGGGCACCTAATCCTGCCACCCCTCTCATCCCAATACTTCAAAGACTTTCAGGCGGTCCTGCAACTGCTTCTAATTTTAAACACTGCTTATGATGGAGATGCCTCTGTTTCCTCTAGTGACACACTGCAATGGCTAGTTAAGTGGAAAGTTCCTTGTGTAGCAGCCATAAATCTTCTCTTGAACCTTCAGCACATACTGCACTGCTCAGTCCTCGCTGCCAGAAGCACGGGGAGCCCGCCCACCCCTTCATTCTCAGACTACTGAAGTCTAGAACACGTGCACCTTCTCTTCCATATCTCCGCCCTTGAGACCGTTGTGCAGACTGTCAATGAACAGTTGAGGGAAGCCGAGACTAGGCAGGTACCTGCTCTGCCCGGTAATCCTGGGTCTTCTCTTGCATGGCCCTCAGGCGGGCAATCTCTTTCTCCTTCTCCCTCCGGATTCTTTCCTGCTCAGCTTCAAACTCTGCTTCTCGAGCCTGCCAGGAAGAAAAGGCCACGTAGCGTATCTCCCACTGCTCCAGTCTTGCAGAGAGAAACAGAACCCCCGCCTGTCTGTCCAGTACCTCCCCAGCCACTTCCTGCCTCCTTTTCAGAGGCACAAACGCTATTAGCATTTGTGAGGCCGGGAAGGGCATATGAGGTACTGGCATGCTCAGGCATATTGGGCCGCAGACATGCCCAAATGCCCAATGACCCCTCCGCCAGTCACCAGCCTTTCCCAGCTCCTCCCACCAATGTCCTTTCCATGTATGATGATGATATATTCCTCTCCTGCTCAAAAGCTATGGTGATTCCTCATCATTCCACACTTCGCATTCTGCTGAAGGTCCGAGGCATCCCCAACAACTGCTGTCAATTCACTGTCACCCCACCACCTCATCTCCTATCATGAGCGGCACAGACTCTCTGCTGCAGCCCGCAAACCTGTTCACCAGCTCCTACACGTGATGCCTTATGATTGCCACATTCACGCATTCAGGGAAATAGCTGCTGAGGCCCACGTGACGTCCACAGCATTATTCTACACATGTTCCACCCAGTCTGATAATGGGCACACACTGTCAGTTTGTACATTTTGAAGCGCTCGAGACATTTCAGATCAGTCACTGACTAGGTTCGCAAGGTGGCTGTGATGATTAAATGGAACAACATGCGTAAAACACAGCACAGAGCCTGTGCACAGGCCAACCACGGATAAATGGTGGTTGTGTGAGCGTGATCATGCACGAACCACCTACGTCCCCCGTCTCACGTTCGCACTCTGCTGCCTGCATATCCCAGCATCCAACGAGATAGCCGAAGCCAATAAACCAGCTTTGCTGAGCCTCATTTTCTGGGGTTTGCATCTGGAGTACACAGGTACATCACTGGGCATCCTTCTGTAGAGCAGTCTGACGTGCTCTCTGTTATCACGGAATCTCGGAACCAGCCGGGGAGACAGGACCAACGCGTGAAGAACTGAGTAACTTTCCAGCCGCCTTGAGCCCTTCCTTTTCTTTTTACATAAATCCCTGGTCGCTCCATCTAAACCCTGCTTAAAAGCCCCCTTTTGTCCTCCCCTCCACACAGACCCCAATCACTCTGTCACTCGGGTTGCCTCGGAACGAGCCTGCACCTTTCTGAGCTGCGTCTCCCTGTAACTGTAGGTGGGTGCGGCTGTCTGTGCCATGTTCCCTCTTACAGCTTCTACGTGGGGGCAGGAGCAGGCTTGATTTTCTGAGTCTAGTGCCCAGGATGGGATGCCCGATAGAGGAGACTGCACAAGAAATTTACGGAGCAGCTGACTCTCAATTACTGGGGGTATAATTATCCGGGTCATGAAGAATACACAAAAATTATACCTTTGCCAATAGTTTTAATTTTCTTCCCTGCCTGCAGTCGACCCTCATCCCAACCTCTAATCAAAGGTGTTATCAAAAATAATAACACCCTAATATGAGTGTCCTTTCCAGGCTTCTTTCTGTTATGAACAACGGCCTGGCCAAGAGGAAGAGAGAAAGAAGCCAGGAGCCTGAGCTCAGGACATGACTTTTAGAATGACACGGCTGCCTTCTGCACAGTCCCCTTAGCTCTGCGGCCTGCCTCGTCCTGTGACTCACACTCCACACCTGCCCGGAAGTCCCAGGCATCAGAGACCTACCATCTTCTTCTTGGTGAACTCCATCACCATCTGGTCGGCCAACTTCTCCCGAGCCAGCAACTCTGCTTTCTGTTTCTGGATCTCATCATTGATGCGCTTAATCTCAGCCTGCATCGTCAGTTTCTCCTGGTGCCTTCGCTCCATATACTGCAGCAAAAGGGGGAGAGCCTCAGAGTGGAAGGGGACAAGGCCAGAAGACACTGGCGTGTGAGGACAGAGAGACACAGAAGAGGCGGGGAGACAAAGGCACTGTCTGCAGTCTAGCTTCGGTCTCTGTCCTTTGTGAAGCTCTCCTCTCAAGGCCGCCAGTGACCTCGTCTAGCCAAATGGCCTCTTGGTCCAGCTTGGCTTGGTGGCCGCCCCCGACACTGCTGATCTCTGTATCCTCTCAGGAGGTGGAAGTGCTTAAAGTCCTACTCAGTGTCTCCTACGCGTCATGTTACGTCCCATCCCTTCTTCACGCGTGTTCCTCCTGCTGTCAATTTGCTTCTCCTATTCAAACTTAAACTTACAGTGGCTATTCGATAGTGATGATTAAAATAATAAAGTATTGCCCTACTTGAGTGTTCGCTATTCATTGGGCATTTTATACAGCCGATCTCTAATACCCAAATAGACGCCCAAACCCTGAAAGGTGAGCCTCATTCTCTCTCTTGTGCAGAGGAAGACACTGAAGCCCAGAGCTTAAGTGACTTGCCCAGGGCCAGACAGCTGATAAAACTCCAGGGCCAGAATTCTGAAGCCTCATCTTTCTAAATGGAAGGTTCCCATCTTCTCTGGAAGATTTCCCCGACTTTCAGCTCCCTCTTCACTTCTGAATTCCCCCTCTGCGCTTGCGATGGTGCCACACCTCCTGGGGTTTAACTGGACACCGTCTTGCAGGTCCCCATTCATTTCCTGTGTGCCCATTCTGTCCCAGCAAGAGGACAGGGGCCATGTATCACACTTCCCTTCTTCTTTCCCAATAGCCCAATGCAAGGAAAAGAATATGCAATAAACTATTGCAGAGAAGGGGGACCAAAGTGAGTGGCATGTGAGAAAGAGGGGGGATATGTCTTGGACATGGGGAAACGCAATGAATGTTGCAGGTGAGAGTCCCAACATGACCATGTGCGACAAGATCCCTTCTAAGGAAGGAGCCTCCCCCTTTTCCAGCCCTGAGCCTTTGAAACTTCCCGGGGATCAGATCAAGCACATTCTCAGGACATAACACGGAAGAGCACTGGGATCTCAGGCAGCTGGTCCACCTGCACCCTCTGATCAAACTCAGACTCCTCGCTTCCATCTCTTCTACCCATCCGTACACCCACCTCCCACACTGTGTCCAGCTCCCTCCATTTCTAAGATTAACCCCCTCTCTGGACTTCCAGCTCCTCGTTGGCCCGGCTTCTGCCCTGACTATCCAAGCCCCCTCTGCTGGCTCTCCCCCAGCTGGGCTCCCTGCCCAGTTCAGGCTCCTTCCTCCAGGAAGCCTCCAGAGCCAGGTCAGCACTGCACTGCCCAGCTGCAGCTGGATGCACATGGTGCGCGAGTCACGACTACCGAAGTCCCTCCCTCGCACCAGACCTGCCTCTCTGCACTCCCCACCTGTCCCCTCCTGCCACCCCAGGGCTCACGCTCCTTTCTTCCTTTCCTTTCTGCCTTCTTCCCACCAGTTCTAGGCCTGCCACTGGTACCCTGGGAAGTCCTTATAATCTCATTGACCCTCAAAGCTAGAAAAGCCACCGACCTCCCATCTGTGACATATACTATCATGTATTTATTTACTCACTTCTTTGCCTATTCGTTTACTTTTTGGTTTGTTGTTTTTGTCGGTTCATTTGATTTCCAAGAAACCAAAGGACTTTCACTATTTCTCAACTTCGAAGCTATTCCAAAGCAACCCCAGATAAACTCCCTCCACTCTTCTCCAAGATGCTAGAAAGGTGGGGAGAGTAGCTTGCACCCCCTGAGATGATAAGGCAGGTCTAAGCTGGGAAGGTACAGGTTTCTACCTTAAAATTGCCTAATAATACTCCCTGTCGCCTCAGGAAGTGCCTATTAGACGGACAGCAAAAGGAACGACGACACATCAGTGTAACGGTGTTGACTGGGATGTTCTCAGTAAGCCCACCGATCCACTTCCCACAGTGCAGACCGATTACCCAGTTACCATTTCTCACCCCTTCCCGTGCACATTGACCCCATGCTTCTCCTTTCTGGCCCCTTCCCTCACTCTCCTGAACCAGGAACTTGGCCAGGTCTCCCTGTCTTCCCGGCCCTGTTGGTCCCCTTCTCGGGCAGGTCCCAAGGCTGCATGCCGCCCCCCTGCCACCCCTCTCATCCCAATACTTCAAAGACTTTCAGGCGGTCCTGCAACTGCTTCTAATTTTAAACACTGCTTATGATGGAGATGCCTCTGTTTCCTCTAGTGACACACTGCAATGGCTAGTTAAGTGGAAAGTTCCTTGTGTAGCAGCCATAAATCTTCTCTTGAACCTTCAGCACATACTGCACTGCTCAGTCCTCGCTGCCAGAAGCACGGGGAGCCGGCCCACCCCTTCATTCTCAGACTACTGAAGTCTAGAACACGTGCACCTTCTCTTCCATATCTCCGCCCTTGAGACCGTTGTGCAGACTGTCAATGAACAGTTGAGGGAAGCCGAGACTAGGCAGGTACCTGCTCTGCCCGGTAATCCTGGGTCTTCTCTTGCATGGCCCTCAGGCGGGCAATCTCTTTCTCCTTCTCCCTCCGGATTCTTTCCTGCTCAGCTTCAAACTCTGCTTCTCGAGCCTGCCAGGAAGAAAAGGCCACGTAGCGTATCTCCCACTGCTCCAGTCTTGCAGAGAGAAACAGAACCCCCGCCTGTCTGTCCAGTACCTCCCCAGCCACTTCCTGCCTCCTTTTCAGAGGCACAAACGCTATTAGCATTTGTGAGGCCGGGAAGGGCATATGAGGTACTGGCATGCTCAGGCATATTGGGCCGCAGACATGCCCAAATGCCCAATGACCCCTCCGCCAGTCACCAGCCTTTCCCAGCTCCTCCCACCAATGTCCTTTCCATGTATGATGATGATATATTCCTCTCCTGCTCAAAAGCTATGGTGATTCCTCATCATTCCACACTTCGCATTCTGCTGAAGGTCCGAGGCATCCCCAACAACTGCTGTCAATTCACTGTCACCCCACCACCTCATCTCCTATCATGAGCGGCACAGACTCTCTGCTGCAGCCCGCAAACCTGTTCACCAGCTCCTACACGTGATGCCTTATGATTGCCACATTCACGCATTCAGGGAAATAGCTGCTGAGGCCCACGTGACGTCCACAGCATTATTCTACACATGTTCCACCCAGTCTGATAATGGGCACACACTGTCAGTTTGTACATTTTGAAGCGCTCGAGACATTTCAGATCAGTCACTGACTAGGTTCGCAAGGTGGCTGTGATGATTAAATGGAACAACATGCGTAAAACACAGCACAGAGCCTGTGCACAGGCCAACCACGGATAAATGGTGGTTGTGTGAGCGTGATCATGCACGAACCACCTACGTCCCCCGTCTCACGTTCGCACTCTGCTGCCTGCATATCCCAGCATCCAACGAGATAGCCGAAGCCAATAAACCAGCTTTGCTGAGCCTCATTTTCTGGGGTTTGCATCTGGAGTACACAGGTACATCACTGGGCATCCTTCTGTAGAGCAGTCTGACGTGCTCTCTGTTATCACGGAATCTCGGAACCAGCCGGGGAGACAGGACCAACGCGTGAAGAACTGAGTAACTTTCCAGCCGCCTTGAGCCCTTCCTTTTCTTTTTACATAAATCCCTGGTCGCTCCATCTAAACCCTGCTTAAAAGCCCCCTTTTGTCCTCCCCTCCACACAGACCCCAATCACTCTGTCACTCGGGTTGCCTCGGAACGAGCCTGCACCTTTCTGAGCTGCGTCTCCCTGTAACTGTAGGTGGGTGCGGCTGTCTGTGCCATGTTCCCTCTTACAGCTTCTACGTGGGGGCAGGAGCAGGCTTGATTTTCTGAGTCTAGTGCCCAGGATGGGATGCCCGATAGAGGAGACTGCACAAGAAATTTACGGAGCAGCTGACTCTCAATTACTGGGGGTATAATTATCCGGGTCATGAAGAATACACAAAAATTATACCTTTGCCAATAGTTTTAATTTTCTTCCCTGCCTGCAGTCGACCCTCATCCCAACCTCTAATCAAAGGTGTTATCAAAAATAATAACACCCTAATATGAGTGTCCTTTCCAGGCTTCTTTCTGTTATGAACAACGGCCTGGCCAAGAGGAAGAGAGAAAGAAGCCAGGAGCCTGAGCTCAGGACATGACTTTTAGAATGACACGGCTGCCTTCTGCACAGTCCCCTTAGCTCTGCGGCCTGCCTCGTCCTGTGACTCACACTCCACACCTGCCCGGAAGTCCCAGGCATCAGAGACCTACCATCTTCTTCTTGGTGAACTCCATCACCATCTGGTCGGCCAACTTCTCCCGAGCCAGCAACTCTGCTTTCTGTTTCTGGATCTCATCATTGATGCGCTTAATCTCAGCCTGCATCGTCAGTTTCTCCTGGTGCCTTCGCTCCATATACTGCAGCAAAAGGGGGAGAGCCTCAGAGTGGAAGGGGACAAGGCCAGAAGACACTGGCGTGTGAGGACAGAGAGACACAGAAGAGGCGGGGAGACAAAGGCACTGTCTGCAGTCTAGCTTCGGTCTCTGTCCTTTGTGAAGCTCTCCTCTCAAGGCCGCCAGTGACCTCGTCTAGCCAAATGGCCTCTTGGTCCAGCTTGGCTTGGTGGCCGCCCCCGACACTGCTGATCTCTGTATCCTCTCAGGAGGTGGAAGTGCTTAAAGTCCTACTCAGTGTCTCCTACGCGTCATGTTACGTCCCATCCCTTCTTCACGCGTGTTCCTCCTGCTGTCAATTTGCTTCTCCTATTCAAACTTAAACTTACAGTGGCTATTCGATAGTGATGATTAAAATAATAAAGTATTGCCCTACTTGAGTGTTCGCTATTCATTGGGCATTTTATACAGCCGATCTCTAATACCCAAATAGACGCCCAAACCCTGAAAGGTGAGCCTCATTCTCTCTCTTGTGCAGAGGAAGACACTGAAGCCCAGAGCTTAAGTGACTTGCCCAGGGCCAGACAGCTGATAAAACTCCAGGGCCAGAATTCTGAAGCCTCATCTTTCTAAATGGAAGGTTCCCATCTTCTCTGGAAGATTTCCCCGACTTTCAGCTCCCTCTTCACTTCTGAATTCCCCCTCTGCGCTTGCGATGGTGCCACACCTCCTGGGGTTTAACTGGACACCGTCTTGCAGGTCCCCATTCATTTCCTGTGTGCCCATTCTGTCCCAGCAAGAGGACAGGGGCCATGTATCACACTTCCCTTCTTCTTTCCCAATAGCCCAATGCAAGGAAAAGAATATGCAATAAACTATTGCAGAGAAGGGGGACCAAAGTGAGTGGCATGTGAGAAAGAGGGGGGATATGTCTTGGACATGGGGAAACGCAATGAATGTTGCAGGTGAGAGTCCCAACATGACCATGTGCGACAAGATCCCTTCTAAGGAAGGAGCCTCCCCCTTTTCCAGCCCTGAGCCTTTGAAACTTCCCGGGGATCAGATCAAGCACATTCTCAGGACATAACACGGAAGAGCACTGGGATCTCAGGCAGCTGGTCCACCTGCACCCTCTGATCAAACTCAGACTCCTCGCTTCCATCTCTTCTACCCATCCGTACACCCACCTCCCACACTGTGTCCAGCTCCCTCCATTTCTAAGATTAACCCCCTCTCTGGACTTCCAGCTCCTCGTTGGCCCGGCTTCTGCCCTGACTATCCAAGCCCCCTCTGCTGGCTCTCCCCCAGCTGGGCTCCCTGCCCAGTTCAGGCTCCTTCCTCCAGGAAGCCTCCAGAGCCAGGTCAGCACTGCACTGCCCAGCTGCAGCTGGATGCACATGGTGCGCGAGTCACGACTACCGAAGTCCCTCCCTCGCACCAGACCTGCCTCTCTGCACTCCCCACCTGTCCCCTCCTGCCACCCCAGGGCTCACGCTCCTTTCTTCCTTTCCTTTCTGCCTTCTTCCCACCAGTTCTAGGCCTGCCACTGGTACCCTGGGAAGTCCTTATAATCTCATTGACCCTCAAAGCTAGAAAAGCCACCGACCTCCCATCTGTGACATATACTATCATGTATTTATTTACTCACTTCTTTGCCTATTCGTTTACTTTTTGGTTTGTTGTTTTTGTCGGTTCATTTGATTTCCAAGAAACCAAAGGACTTTCACTATTTCTCAACTTCGAAGCTATTCCAAAGCAACCCCAGATAAACTCCCTCCACTCTTCTCCAAGATGCTAGAAAGGTGGGGAGAGTAGCTTGCACCCCCTGAGATGATAAGGCAGGTCTAAGCTGGGAAGGTACAGGTTTCTACCTTAAAATTGCCTAATAATACTCCCTGTCGCCTCAGGAAGTGCCTATTAGACGGACAGCAAAAGGAACGACGACACATCAGTGTAACGGTGTTGACTGGGATGTTCTCAGTAAGCCCACCGATCCACTTCCCACAGTGCAGACCGATTACCCAGTTACCATTTCTCACCCCTTCCCGTGCACATTGACCCCATGCTTCTCCTTTCTGGCCCCTTCCCTCACTCTCCTGAACCAGGAACTTGGCCAGGTCTCCCTGTCTTCCCGGCCCTGTTGGTCCCCTTCTCGGGCAGGTCCCAAGGCTGCATGCCGCCCCCCTCCCCCCCCCCCGTTTTCCCTAACTCCCCAGGGGGTCTCCCTCCCACTCCTCACACAGATCCTCACTGTCCAGGAGAAACCTTCATACCTTCACACTTATAAGCCACCTGTGAGACCCTTCAGGGACCCCCTGTCACTCACCACCTTCAAAAGCCCTGGGAGATAGTTAAGTCAATCACCCGTAAACATGGGGAGGAGGAGAGAAATAAGATAATACATGCTCTGCAAGTTAAAGGGCACCAGGAGGAAATGATCAGACGAATCAGACTGTGAAGCATTCTTCAAGTCAACTGGCCTGCAGGCTTCAAAAATAATCAGTGTTGTAAAAATGATAAATGAATGAATGAGGAAACTCTTTTGGATCAAACAGACTTAAGGGAATACAAGGTGAGAACGCTGATTGGCTCCCGGTTTGGAAAAAAGAGAACAACTGAAAATACGCTTTTGGGAACAACGGAGAAATGTGGATATGGATTAAATATTAAATGATATTGTAGAATCACTGGACTCAATTTTTTGATGGGGGGAATGTGATCTTGGTATTGTTAACATGTATTCAGAGACCAGGCTAAAGCATTTAGTAAAAAGTGTCAAGATACCTGCAACTGACTTTCAAATAGCTTAACAATAACAAAATATGTATGTGCATCTGAGAGACAAACAACTAAGACAGATTAACAATCATTAAATCTAGGTGAAGTATTGATGGGTGTGGTCCCACTCTTTCAACTTGTGCGTGTGTATAGAAAAATTTTAAGGGAAAAATTGAAGGAAAAAAAAAAGAAAAGAATCCACCCTCCTGACGCTGGCCACGCCCCTCACCGCGCTAGGGACTTTTGGATATTGCATCAGACCAGATGACACAAAGGGAAGAGGATTGGTTTAAGTCTGCGTAGTTTGGGCAGATACGTCAGCTTTTTTTTTTGCAATGCATAAACCTACTAATTTTATTAAGGCTAACAGGAAAATAAGGTTTGAATCCTCAATACAATTAACGACCCTGGGATGCTATGTACTTCCAATGAGGTAACAGCAGGGAGTCTGGAATAAGACAGTGCTACTGTTCATCTGCAAAGTGCGTAATATCCTTAGAAAATTGAGGGAAAACTATAAAACATCCCTATGTTTATTTGTGCAAAGCATGCAGCCCTATATTTTCTTTATGTGTCCATTCACATGGATGTGTCAGTCTTGGACCCCAAGTTCCAGGAAGGCAGCACAACATCCCTCCAAGTGACTGCTCACTCCCCAGCACGGCTCCAGAGCCAAATAAATGTTTAACGTGGCAGTAAAACGTTGATGGCAGTGATGTCGTGAAATGAGCATGTGCCTGCCAGAGCATCAGTGCACGCCCTGAAGAACCCAGATCTTGCAGGGCTCTGCAGCCGCTGCTGGTGGACATGCTCGGTCTGGCCCTCTTACCCTTAGATCCTCCTCCTGGAGCTGTTCCATGTACTCCAGCATCTGCTCCTTCTCCTGCTCCTTCTGCTCGGCGAGCAGCGACCGCTCCTCCTGGTTCTTTTCCATTTGTTCCACTATGTGCCGCCTTCCCCTGGGAGGGAACAGGACCACGGTGTCTCAGACATCAAGGGGCTGTGTCTCTCTGCTCCAACCTCCCCCTGGATGGGAGGCATTGCAGGTACGGTTTGCCAAGCACCCCTTAACCATCACGATGCTTCCTAAGCCTGGACTGGAGTCCCTCCCAGCGTGTCGTGAGGGGTCAGTTGTCTCTCGTCTGAGCTCCTGGCTCTGGGGCTCACCCTTCTTGAGATCCCTCGTCCTGATTTGCCTGCCCATGAGTGCACCCCACATCATAACACAGCTTCTCCCTTGCAGTATGTCAAGAGCTTCTGAAATCTCACTGTTTCCCAAGACTTCCCAGGGTAAGCAGAGGGAGCAAGCTTCCTGTGCCGGCTTCTCAGAGCTTCGCAGCTGCAAGGCCCAGGGCAACCCCTCCCACCAGGGCTTCTGCTCTTCCGCTCTCCGGTGTATCTCCTGTCCTCGCCCACCTCCCATGCCCAGATTGGAGGCTGTCTTTCTTACATCCTATCTCATATTTAAAGACTGTCAACTGCTGGTGGACAGGGCTGAGTCTGAGGAAGTCTCTCCCCTCAGCAAGGCCCCAGCTCAGCAGCTACAACCAGAAGAACTGTTCTCGACTTCTATGACCAGTGTCACCAGTGACTCCCTATGTGTTATTGGGATGTCAATAAACTTAGAAGCATCCAGACCCCATGACGTAGGATAAAGGCTGGTAGAATGAGAGAAGTCACAGATTAGGATGAGCATCTAGGGGAAGGAGCTAGAGATTCACATTCAGATAGAGCACTTGAATGGCTTCCTGACTCCACATGAAATAAGCAGGCGTAGTGAGTAAAGGAGGTAAGTGGAGGCAGGCTGAGACTCAATATTAGGACCAGCTCAGGTCATTAGAGCTGCCTAATGAGGCACAGAGTTTTCCTTTATTGGAGCAGTTTATGCAGAAGATGAAGAGCCACCTGGCCATTAAATAAACTTTTATTGGGAGCCTACTCTAGTCTACCAGGTGCCTATGAGAAGTACAGAGATGAATGGGACATGAGGACAGATGCAGATGGGGAGGGAGGGCTGCCACTCAGGCATACAAGGACAATTTATAGAGGTCATTCCTGTATTGCGTGGTTGGTGTTCTAAATCTACGACACTACGATTCTATAATTTACCTGCTCTGGGACTTGTCTTTTACTGAAAAATGGAGGGGACTGGATTTACACATTCTGACACGCACTAAGTACCTCCTATAGGCCAGACACTCTGCTAGGCCCGGGAGCTCCAGCAGTGAGTGAGACAGGGACCCCACGCTCAATGAGTGCACATGGGAGTGAGGGCAGAGCTCCAGCGCAAGAAGTGGTTCACTAGAGTACAACCAGTGTGACATCTCTGGTGGACAAGGAAGCCACCAAGCCTGCCCGGTGACATGAGGGAGGTTTGGGGGTGGGAGGGGGGACAGCAAAGCTACCAACTAAAGGAAGAGAAAGCATTTTCCAAGAGGAAAGGACAGAGAAGGATATTCAAAGCCTGGGGGACAACTAAAATCACGAACTTGTGACCAGACCTGGCACGCTGGGGCTGGGGCAGAGCACGGAGCAGAGGGCAAGGAATGGTGGGGAGGGAGGATGACCGGGGCCAGATTGTCAGGCACCTGCTACGACTTTGGAGGTAAGCTTGAGAAGGTCTGTGGTTCTGTGAATCACTTCATAAGGTTTTGAGATAATAATAGAGGGTGATAATGACCACTTCTCATCTCCTTCTTCTCTGCAAGGCTACCTGGACCTAAAGACACATGGAAACGACTTAAGGAGGCACCCAAACCACCTCTTTACCGGATTCTTTCCTCCCTCCTCTTCCTGTCCAGCTCCTCCTGTCTTTGAATGGATTTCTGCCGTTCCACCTCCATCATCTGATCCAAACGTTTCTCCTCTGCATCCAGTTCTTTTTGGATCAGCTTCTTCTCCAGCATTTGGGCATCCCGGATGGCATGGCACTTGGCATTGAGGATGATCTGGGGAGTGGACGTGAAATTGTGGCACTCGGCCTGGGCATAAGGATAGGCAGGGGTGCAGCAAGGGGCACAGAAGCTGGAGGGAGGGGAAACAGGAGCAGGTACTATTGTGTGTGCTGGACACGTGCACAGGGGCTCCCAGGCCTGGAGAAGCAGGAGCATTGTCATATTCAACCTTCCCCTGAATAAGGTTCAAACTGAACATTTACGGGGCCCCCCCTTAAGTGCTAGTCTGTGCAAGGAGAGGCCAGAGAGGCCCAGAAGATCATCGTTCAGGGTCTTGGTGTTTTGGGGGTCATGGATACCACTCTTTGGGAACATGAAGAGAGCTATGGGTCTTCACCTCCGTAAAATCCACTTCCATATATACACACAAAATTTCCACAGAACCTCAGAGGTTTGTGGAACCTCTGTAGATCCCCCTTAGGGACCCATGAACCCCAAGTGAAGACCCCCTCGGGGGGTCTTCTTCTCCTCAAGGAAACTGAAACACTCTTTGGAAGGCAAAGTCAAGCTTTTTTTTTAAGCTGTAAGAGCCCAACATAAAACATAAGGAGATGAAAAACCATGGCCATCAATAAGAACTATGAAGTAAAAGCCCTGGAAAATAAAAGATGTGAGCAGAGTAGATTTACCTGAAAGACAGAAATGGTAGATGGAGGGGCTAGGGTTAGCATTTTTCATTTGGTGGGGAAGTGAACCACGGGTGCATGGGTAACAACGCAGAAGTCAAGCACTCTCAGCTAAAAGCAGCACTTCGGCACTTCAAAAGAATCCAACTGCCTGGACCACTGTCTGTGGCCAGAATTGAAGTAGCAAAATACAAATAAGAGTAATAACCTCACATTTATTTATCAGTCCACAGTCCCTGAAGCCTCTCCCAGGATAAGCTTAATCCTGCTAATAATTCTGCTAAGTAGTTTTGTCACCCTTATTCTACAAATGAAGAAAGTACGGCTCAGAGAGGGCACATGAGTTGCTCAAGGTTGCACAGCTAGCACATGGAGAGGCCAGGCCTCCCTCTGATCACAGCAACTACCGTGGCCTGTACGGCCCCCCCAAGGCCAGCCCCTCGCCTTTCACCCCACCTTGCCCCATCTCCAGCTGGAGCCAGTGCTGTCCAGGTCATGGATAAGATGAGGGAGCAGGCAGTGGCCGTGAGTCCTCAGAGGGGGAAAGAAACCAAGAGCCCCCACCTTGCTCATGTCCTTGAGCTCCTCCTCCTGCCCCTGCCGCAGCTGGTGGGCCCTCTGCAGGAGGCTCTGGGCCCTCTCCTTGGCCTCCTCCTCCAAGTCAGTGAGTTTCTTGTTGTTCCTCCAAACCATTTCCTTCTGCTTCATGATTTTCTTGCGTGTGGTCACTGCATCCTGAGGGAGGCCAGTCCAGATCAGGGCAGGCTATTCCCTGTGCTCCAGGTACTAGCCCGGCTACCACAGGGACCTGACGTGGCCTGGCCCACCCCACTGCGCTGGCAGAACCCCGCAGCCTCACAGCTGACGGCACCCTCACTGCTCCCCGTGCCCCCCAGCGGCTCCCACACCTGGTTCTCATTGTCCATGTCTTCCCCGAGCACACATTCACACCTGCTGCAGGGTCCCCTCACTAGAGCTCCTGGGCCCCTGGGAAGTGGGCCTCTCCCCTTCTGCCCCCCATCTGCAGAGCTCAGGGCTCCGCAAGGTCAGCTACCATGATGGCCTCCTTCTCCTTCCTGAAGGCCTGCTCCCTGGCCTCGAGCTCTTCTCTGGTCAGGACGTGGGATGCCCCTTTGATCCGCTCAAACTCCTCAGGGCTCATGATGAGAGACTCCCCAGAGGGGTCCTGGGTGGGAACGCTGATGCAAGGGGAGTGCAGAATTCAGAAGGGGGAGAGAGGGGGACAGCTGTGAGCACCACGCCGCAGGCTTCTCTGCCCACTCCGCCCTCACCCCCCATCAAGGGCTGGGCCAGTGACAGGAAGGGGTACGGGTCCTCCGGTGGCTGGCAGGAGTCCCAGGCGAGGCTGACGGGGCATCACAGGCTACAAACGGGCATTTTAAGAACTTTTGCTAAAAGGCCCCGTTTATATGTCACCTTCTCTGGGCAGCTGCCCATGACCCTCCCCCACATGCACACACACCCGTTCTCCCCCCCAATCAGGCTGGCAGACCCCCTGCGCCTCGGAGCCCCACCGCCCTCTGCTCTCGATGCCCGTATTACAGCTCAGGGGGCTCAGTCTGTTTCTTTTGCTCAGTGACAAGCTCCTTGGGGACACGGACTCTGTTTTAACCACAGTGGCAGCCTCATCTCTGGTACAGTGCTGGGCACAGAGTGACAACGCAGAACAAAGTTGTGGAATTTTGAACTTTACAGATTCTTCCTCAAGGATGACATAAAAAGGGCGAGGGGGCACCAGACAAGGTTGAAATGGATGCTCGTGAGAAACGTAAACACCCCTGTCCATCCAGCCCAGAGAGAAGCTTTGAACCCTAAATATTAATTAAAATCTCTGGTCAACAACACAGTCAGGTCTACAGATTTCTCCTTCCTAGCCGCACAGGCACAACACATTCAACAAACCAGTAGCTAATTATAATGATTACAAACAAATGACATACATTAAAGATGGAGGCAGGAGAAGCAGGGGCTGGGAATAAAGCTGCTTCTGGGTGAGGCCATTTAAAAGGTCCGAGGCAATGAGACACAGACGTGGAGGCAGGAAGTGAAAACTCATCCAGTAAAACTAGGTGTGGGGTGGTGGGGGGGGGTGTCCAGGAGGTGAACCGAATGAGTGAGTGGATCTGGGGCTCAGCCAGGCTCTCCTGGTCCACTGTAGCATGACCCCAACAGCCGGGGATCTGGAATGGCCAGGAATGACCTGAGTCTGAGAGAGCATCTCATGCTGCTTCCAGCAGCGCTGACAAGCAACCAGGAACTTCACCTCCAACGTGTTTTCAGGACTAGACCAAGAAGGGGCCCAGTCTCTGGCCCAGGAGCGGCTGGGCTGCGGACGGTGTCTGATCCTCTGGGGCTGGGGCTGATGCTGTGTCTTCCCAGCTCATGACACAGGCGGCATTTTCTGGGGTTTTGTTTCCAGTGGGAGGGGCCAGAGTTGGGAGAAGGGCTTCCGAGCATGGGGGATGAGTGCCAGAGAAGAACCGCTGGGGGCTGACTTGGCTCACACTGCTGAGCTGGGCCGGAACCCCACAGGAGGGGCCCGAGCAAGGGGGTGGCTGCAGTCAGGAAGCGGAGCTGAGCTAATCCCAAAGGAACCCAAGAGCCCTCGGGAATTTCCTCTCCGGGCCTCAGAGTCTGAGAAGAAGCCAGGGGGGCTAATTAGGCATCTGGTCAGTTTCCCTTGGCTTCAGATCCCTGGTGCAGCCAAAAGGAAATGACTCATGTGGACTAGTTCCTCTTACCAAGTGGGAGGAGGCTCAGAGAGGACCCTCCAAGTGCCACCCCTCGCCCAGCCCAAGGCCCAGAGCAGCCAGAAGAAAGGGAAGAGAAAGAAGCCAGGATCAAGGGCAATGGCAATAATAGACTCAAGAGAGGGAGAGACAAGAGAGGCCCAGACGGGGAGGAAAGGAGAACCATGGAACAAATGGGGAAAGGCCCAGGGAAGACGTGGGCCTGGCCGCCAGTGACCCCAGGTGGCCCCCCCGTGTCTGGGCACAGGTGCTCAGCAGGAGTGCAGGCTGGGACGGGCGGGCACCGCGCCCTGGGTACTCACATGAGCTCCCGGACCATGTCCTGGGTGATGAGCTGGATGGTCTCTGGCTTGTGGTCCAAGCCCGGGGCAGCGAGAGCTTTCCGAGTGGCATGCTTTTCTTGGAGCAGCACGATGGGCCTGTTGCTCTGGGTCAGGGGCTATGGGGCCACAAGGACCACTGAGAGGCTGGTCACCCCACTTCTGCTGGTGCCCTAACTTCAAGTGTGCCTTCCCCGCTGCTGGAGCTTCCACACTATCCTGTCGGGGCAGGCTGGTGGGGCCCAGACTGCAGGACCAGCGAGAGTAGCCAGGGCACCGGGAAGCACTTCCTCAGTGTTCTGCCCTTGACCATGGCCAGGTGTGTTCTGTGCCGACGGGCTCTCCTGAGAACAAGGCCCCTCTGTACCTTGTGTACGCCCTCCCGAATGGATGCGGGGGGTGAACGTTGCTAGTGTGCATCCATCCCTAACCTAGAACCATCAGGAGTGAATATTTGGGGCCTCTGGGGTCTCTTCCCTCCATGATTTATGAAAGAAGAAATAATGATGTCTCTTGGGCCACACAATGGATTTGAAGCAATACAATTTATCATAGACTCATCCAACTATGATATTCGTAATGTTTAATTCTTTCTAATGATCAATTTACTTTGATCCCCCAAAAACGGCCATGTGGAGTTAGAAATGGCCAAATGACCTGGTGGAGACCTGTGTGTAAGTAACTTGGTGAGGAAGTGAGTGAGTGTGAATTTGCAAGAATACACATTCCACATATGATTTTTTTTGGCAAAGTGTTCTGAACATGAAGGAGTTAGATGATAAGCAACTGAAACAACTTATTTCAGGAATATGTTGAACACAGGAGAGATTCTCATTCGTCATTAATGTGGTAACTGGGATCCTGAGTGGAGGCAGGGGGTGGCCTTGACGGAGGTCCTTCCGGGCCTGGGGACCTTGCTGCGCAGACGTCTCCAGAGCGCTGCTGCCACCTGGTGCCATCCCTGCTATCCCGCCGTCCCACTCAGGCGTGCCACAGGCTACTTCTGCCCCCTACTGTCGGGTGGGAGACTTCTGGACTCTCCCCGGCACCAAGGCCCAAGGAAACGGGGCCCAGGAGCAGGCATTTTCTGCCTTACCCCCATTAGCCAGCCAGCTGGACTACCGGAGAACTCGTCCATTTCCCAATCTGTCTTCACTGTAACTAGAAGGTTCCCCATGGGCCCAAAACAAAGAACCGTTAAGTGAAACTGCATCCCTTTGATTCTTTCCCTTGTCAATAGGAGAACTGCACAGAGTGGGGCTCTTCTAATGCACAAGACGCCCATCTCGAACCCTCTGGAAAGTACTTTCTGATTCACTGTGAGGGCAGCGAGGGGCAGAGGTGGTGGACATCACCTCTCCTCTCCCCGCTCACCCAAGGCCGGAGGCATTCACACCTGCGGTCACACCGCTAGCAGCTTCCCCCTCACTCCTCTTTCCCTTAATCTCACTGCCTCTTCCCATGTCTCATTCCGTCTCTCCTTGCGTCTCCTCCTTGCCACCTACTGAGCCTCCCGTGTACCCAGATTATTCCCAGTGATGCTCCTGCCCCTCCTTCTCTAGACTCAAGGGGTTTCAGCCTCATAGTCTGGACGACGTCTGCAAGCAAAGACCAGCTCGTTTCCCAGAGCTAAGTGACGGTTTTAACTGAGCAGCTGCAAAAGGGGGCTGATTTCGTGTTTCACTCTGACACTGGTCTTGGATGGAGGGGCAAATATATTGCTCTGTTGTCTGTAAGTCTGGTCTAGTGGCCCGCAGACGTTTTCATCCTGGGGCTCAGAGTTCACGTGCTATGCAGACCTGAGGATTACAGGGATAGAGGAAGCCAGGTGCCCCGGTTGACGTGAGCCCCACTAGACGTCAGAGTTCAACAGCACGGTTCTTGGAACTTCCCTTTGCCTTCCATCCGGGAGTCCCTTGGGGGGTGGCTTGCGCAATGCTAGATTTGTCCTGAGCAACTGCCCCAGGGGAGGCTCAGTGAGGGTTACCTTGATACCTCCGAAGAGGTTCTCATCCACCTGGGAGCTCACGGCTCTGGTCCGGTAGCGAGTCCTAGTCCTCGACCTGGTGGAAGTGGCAGAAGAGGAGCTCTGGAAGCCAGTGGTGCTTAAAAGCTGCAGGGAGAGGCAGAAATTGGGGGTCATCGGTACAGAGAGGTAAATAAACACTTTGCGAGCCTGAGCTGGAGGTGGGGAGGTGGCATGTGGAAAAGCCACTGGGAGGAATACCGGGGTAAACTCTGAAATGTAGGGAACACCCCCACAGAAGCAGGGGCCAGGCACGCTCGCTGCATGAGAAGGAGCACCTCTGTGGCCTCAGGGCTGAAGGAGACAGGTCAGCATGCAGTACAGAAAGGGGGGGAAACCGGCACAGCAGGAGCACGACCTCATTGTCCCCAAGGACACTGTCTTGTGGGGCCACTCGGGCTTGCCTCCCCAGAAATGTATAGTGTCTCCTTCACATGAAATCAGAGCCTGAATCTGAGCCCCCTTCTCAGCTGACACCACTATTTGACCTCCTTCAGTCTCCACAATCTCACAAGGTTACAGTGTGCAGCACAGGACGTAAAGGAGGGGAAAACACCTTGCCCGCTGCTTGGCACATGGTGGGGACCTAGTAAACTGCAGTGGGGAATAATGAAGGGTCACCAGCAACGAGCAAGCAAATCGGCTCATAATGTCCACTATGTGGCTTTCACTCCCAGGACCTAGTTTGGATAATGAGGGTTTGGATAATTCCCCACCTAATGAGATGCAGGACACACGGTTCATCTCCAGCTACAGAATCTGAAAACACCAGATATTTGCCTTCCAACCCCAGTCACAGGACAAGGCTGAGCCAATCGGACCCTCCCAGCTTGACAAAAAGAGGGAGAAAACAAGGAACATCCTCTGACCAAGGCCACGGTGGCTGCCGGACCCATCTGGGCCCGTGCTGGTAAGGATACCAGCCACAGCACCCCATGTCCAAAGCTGCCGGCGTTGGGGCTGTAACAGATTCAAGGGTCAGACCTGTTCTGGGTTGTGACTTCTGGCCACATTCCGGCTACAAAGTCTCCCTTTGTTCCCGTTTTCCAAGCCTACTTTCCCAGCCATGGTGTAAAGTCGGCAAGCTCTCCAAATCCTCTCAATACCTCCCTCCTACTTAAATTAGAGTTCTGGTGCTGATGCTGTAACTGAGAACCCTGACAAATACAGCCTCCACTCCCAGAACTGAGGGCAGCTTCACTCAGCCCCAGGGGGAGAAGTCTGCCTCCAGAAGGCGGTTGCCTTGAACCGTGGGTCAGCCCTGCGCTGACTGTAAAGCTGACTCAAAGCTCACTTTGGAGGCACACACACAGCCTGTGGTTCCCTAAGCTGAGGTATCGTGGGGGAATGGGCTACAGGCATCGATCTCCCACACCTTGCAATCGGCACCAGTCCAGGGGAGAGGATGGACAGGGATGTGGACTGTGCATTCCAGGTCACTACACCCAGGGCAGTGTTTTGAAAACTCTCTCTGATCCAGCCAGGCACACACACCCCAGCAGCTGTCCCACCTGTGTTAGGGTTTCACATTAAATAAGGCATTTTCCAGCTGGTTCTGTTCCATAACACGCACACTGCCATGTGTGGCCTCTCCCTCACTGCCTGGCACAGCCAGCAAAGGGCTTCCAGGGGGAACCTCCCCATACAGCCTCAGGCAGCCCCCCTACAGCTGAGCAGAAAAGCTTGGATTCATTAGAAAGTAAACATAGCAGCCCTGAGGATGCCTACTAACACACTCTGAAGGCTTTTTACATGGTAAGTGGTGAGCAACTGCTCCCCCTTTCCCTGAAAATGGAGTAAGAGGAAATGAACAGAAACTGCCACAGGTCCATGGAGGCTAAGCATTAAAATATCTGGAGAAGTTGGAAGGCATTGGTTCCAATCTGAGGGACGTTGGGGGTTCTGGATAGAATTAAGGGAAAAGGTGTGGGGTCTTGCACAGAGTAGGGGCTCCATGTGCATTTGATGAAGAATGAATGAATGAAACTAATCATGATGACCTCTCAAGGGCTGCAGACCAGATTGAGCCGGAAGGCTCCCCAGAACACGTCTGCCTGACTCCAGGTCACTCCACCACTCCACATTTTCTGTAGCACGTATGTGGTCTGCACTGTGGAAAACCATGCATGGGAAAGGGCTTTGGGGTACAGATGGAAGGTATTATTACTGTTTTGCATTTGTTTTCCTGTTTTGCTTCGAGGGCTCCTGCAACAACCCTTTCCTTGTGCTCGGGTGCCCACCAGACTCTAGATCCCTCGAAGGCTGGGGCTGCATCGCCTCTTTCCTAGGCCCTTGGTACCCAGGCAAAGAGGAAATCACACAGAAGACACTCAACTGCCTGAGCTTAGAAGTCAGAATAGAGGAAGGACAAGAGAGGACCACAGAGAAGTGGCCGCTGGGCAGGGCAGCGGGAAGCTCTAAGCCCCAGTGCTGGGTGGCTGAGAAGCCTCATTGGGAAAATGCTGACTCTAAAGCCACAAGCCGTACACCAGAGTTAGAAAAACCAGTTTTGCCAAGAGCAACAAGGATTAGAGAGGTCACTGTGTAAAAGTCCTCAAAAAAATGAAGAACCAAGCAGAAATGGAAAGTTAGATCCCTCTGGGCCAGAGCCAGTAGCCAAGAGGTTCTTTCAGGAGGGGAAGGGCTGGTTTTATTTCTTGCGTGACCAAAAAAATATCCCCCAAGAAGCTGAGCAGTGCCTAGAGAGAAGCCTGTCTAGTCCTCCCCGTGGGGAGGCAGCTCTTGAGGGGAAGGAAGAGAGACTGATAAAAACTAGTTGTGACAGCTGAAGAGGCAAGGGCCCCTGGAAGATGAGGTTTGGGGACAGATAAAGAAAAGCCAGCCCTGCTTTGGTATTTTCTTCTTGGTGACCTAGCTGACCCCTTCCTTCTTCAAATGCCATCTCACCCCAGGAGCCTAAAAATTTGGCCACTGCTAGGGGCTCTGGGAGAGACTCTGAGGCAGAAAGATTAGCTGATCATTCAAATGATTTTTACTTCATCACTGATACTGTTACTCCATAACACAGTGAGTTTTAAAGAAAGCAGACTAAGAAACACCTAAGTGTTCCTGTAAAACTCTGTTATGAAGGCTATGCATGCAGAATGCATTACTAAAAAAACTTTCACAAAAATGATAAACAGTGCTTTCAGGTGAGTATCACCATCTTAAGATGTTCTGGTATCAAATAATTTTCCGCAATGAGCAGGTAACTCTTTTTATGACCAGGAAAAGAAATCACCATTTTTATTTGAAAACAAAATATAACAGTGGGCCTGGTGTCCTGACTCTGAACACAGGAGATGGCGGCCCTTAAAAAAACGGTAGCATTGTACGTCCCGGGGTCCAGGATATTCAGCCCAAATCTGGCAAGGCGGAACTGGCATAGGGCTGGAACAGGTCGGGTGGAGTTTCCCTGCCCCAGCTGTACACCTGTCTCGTGAACAAAGACCAAGGCCCGACCTTCCCTGATGTCCTTTCCACCCTGGGATCTAGTTGCTCGGCTGCAGACAGGTTTCCAGTGCAGGCTGGCAAATTCAGGCTTTGAGCTCTTGGCCTGATTCTATTTCCCTTTCTGCAGGCTTTGGCTACTAAGAAGGAGCAGAGGTCCACGCAAGAGGGACCTGGCCTTTAACTGAGTGATTCACTCGGGTCACACCTCTTTTCTCCAATGGACCAGGCTGTCTATCTGCCCGATGCTATCTGATGGTGACCTCGGGTACTGAGGTCCTGTCCCTCCTTCTGCAGGATGTTATTGGTTGTTTTTGTGAGAGTCCTGGAGATCTGCCTAATTGTACGCTCCCGCCCCCTGCTCACCCCCACCTCTCCCCTTCCTCCACACACTCAAAAGCTAGTAATAGCCACACACACACACACACACACACACACACACACACACACACACCCCACACCCTGGGCCTGACAGAAGAGCACAGAGGCCACTAATCTGACCCACTGCTTCTCAAAGGTGCTCACAGGCCAGGTCCTGTCCACAGGAGCTCAGAAGGGCTCAGTCAGCAGGGCAAACCCCTGCCCTGAGTGGCCGTTGGGTGGGGAATCCCTGATCTAGGTACGCTAAAGCCTACAAGTCTAGCCCAGGTACAACTCACTGATTAATTTGGGCTTGGAAATAAGAAATTTTTTAAGCAGGAAAGAAAGGAACCAAGGTTTACTGCACACCCTTAGGGGCCAGGGGCACGGCTAGGCCCTCACAAGTGGACATACACCGCTGTGAGGCACTGAGGAGAGCTAGGAATAAATATGCATAATAAAACGCCTGTGTGAAAGGGGAGTCCCACTGCAACACCACAGGGAGTCCTGCGAAGCTGGGAACTGCTCTATTTTTGGAGTCTTGTTTCTTTTATAATTAACAAAGCTCTTTTGACATCCCAACTTGGGAATCCTGAATTTGAACCACTGAGTCCCAGAAAAACCAGCGTGCGTGACCTGTGGGCATGAAGTGTGCCCACATGTGCACCCAAGGAGCCACCTTCCCCACCTGGTGTGTTCCCAGAAATTCTGAGATTATTTCCAATACCCCAAGGCCCCAACCCCTGTCCTCTGGCCCTCTCCCTTATCCCTCTGGGACCAACACACTCCTCACTGGAGCCAGACGTCCTCTCCGCAGCTCCTCCCAGGCCTGGTGCCCTTCTCAACCCGCATGACCCTCTGGTCCCTCCCATCCCAGGAGCGTGCGGCCTGCAAAACCAGTCCCAGTCCCTCTCCTGGTGCCCTCTCCCTCATTCCCTCACCCTCTTGCAAATGTGTACCTCCTGAGTGACCCAAGGCCCCACCAACAAAAGAGAAAACTGAGGCTCGGGGACAGTGGGTGACTTCAGTATCGTCACTCTGCCAGCCAGTGGCAGAACCGGCACTGTATCCCGTTGTCTGGCCTCCTCACCAGCAGTGGCCTTTTCACATCGCATCCCCCAGTTGCCAGCCCCCAGAGGCCCAGGCCTGACGCGGGAGGAAAGGGCTGGACATCTCGTCTCCCCCAGTCCTGAGCTCAGCAGCCCTACAGATTTTCAAAACCCATCGACCCCACCCGATTCCTCCTTTGGACTCGCCTCAGACCTTCCCTGGCTTCTTCTAGGGGTGTCCTGCCTGCTCCCGGGCCTTCCTGACCCCAGACCCAGACTCAACTCCTGTCCTCCCCAGCGCCTCGCTTTGCCAGCTCAAACCCCAACCCCATTCGGACACACGCGGCCCCCATCCAAGGTCCACCCACCACCGGGGTCTCACCATCTCGGCCGCAAGCCTGACGGCGCCCGCACCGCCGCCGCCGCCGCCCACGCCGCCGCCTTCGCTGGGTGTTTACGAGTTACCATAGCAACCAAGAGCCCGCGCCCCGGCCCCGCCCCGCCCTGCGCTCCGCCGGCCGCCGTGACCGCGGGGCTTCGGGCACCTGGACCCCTCTCCCCAATTCCCGCTCGGCCTCCGAGCGGAACCACGGCTCTGAGACGCTGACCCGGCTCGGAGCGGCTCTTCGGCTCCTCACTTGGGCTTTGGCCGAACTCCTGGGACAGAACCCGAACCCTCAAGGGCCTAGATGGGCTCGGATGTCCCATCGCCGGCAGCCCCTCCAAGAGCTGAGCCAGGGCCCCGATTTCCCCGGATACCTCGTAGGTCACCACGGTTACCGTTGCCCCAATGCCAAGCCCCACCCTGATGAGGGTGTTCTGCAGAATGAGGCGAGAGGGTTTCACAACAGGAAAGAGTGTGGTTAGACCAAGGAAGAACTTCCAGCCTTGAGGATTCGCGTGTAGTTCCTGGCGCAGTTCCTTAAAATGCGGGCGTCCAGCTTCCTCAGACGTCCAGCTCGGCATCACCTGGGAGACTTTATTAAGAATAAAATGTAGGCCCTCGGACACTGCCTGAATAGAAATCTAAGGAACTGGCTTTACAGAGCCTGCTTTTTAAATAACACTTCCCAGTTTGTAACGTTCTGGAAGGCTCGTTCGGAGTTTTATAATTTCCCCAGTTTGGTTTGGCTCCTACACCTCCCACCCTGAGGGACAACATTGAACTGATTTTGAAAACTGAACCCCCCAGCCTTGCCTACCCCGAGCCTCACAAAGCCTACCCGCCCGACCAGGGACCTTTTTTTCCTCCAGGACTGATGAGCTGAACTCTTGGGCCAGAAGAAGTGAGGACTGGGATTCTGTGAGTGGCTTCCCCACTCCCAAGCCGTCACAGCGCCTTCTGAAGCTTCTCCAGCTTTCATGCTTCAGAGCCAACCTCTGCGTCCTGAGACGCACTCTGGGCTGAAGGAGGATTGGCCGCAGAGCTGGGGGCCCCGGGGGCTGGCGACACGCCCCAGGGGAATGCAGGCAGGGAGCCGGGTCACCCCCAGCTGCTTCTCAAAGGACTTACTCCAAGGCTTCACATTCTGTCCCTAGATTTCCCAGCCTTATCTCCTTTAGGATCCGGCAGCCGACCGGATGGAGGGGCCCCACACAGTGCTGGCGGTGGGATCGGAGTGGGTGGGGGGGCAAGAGTAGCTACTATACAGCGGCAGGCCTGAAGGGGGTGCTCTCTGCTCCGTGCTTGGGGGTGAGGGGAGGGCCTTTCTGTTCCAGGCGCCCTTCCTTCCCCAGCCTCTTCCCTGCAGCCGAGAGGAGGAAAGATGAAGCCGGAAGCCCATTGTCTACGTTGGATACTCAGTGACCAGCGTGATTTAATATATATGTAGGTTTTTGTTTTATTGTCGTTTTGTATTTGTTCATAAATGGTGAGGTTTTTACTAATACTCAGTTAAACAATCTACTTACATTTTATAATCCTTTTAATGTTTCATTTTTAATCTTTAATTTTAAAATCCTTATTTCTTTTCATATTGGTGTAACTCAGGTGTTCCATGATTTTATTTAGGATTTGTATGTATTTCATTTATATTAAGTGTATTTTGTAAATTTAAACAGCACAGAAATAAAGAAAATGAAAAACAAAACAAAGCAAAAAAATTGAAGCCCACTGCGGATCCCATGTTCTACTACGTTTTCCACCCAATCCTCACAGCCACTTCTCTCTAGGGTAGTAACTATCCCCATCACCAAGGACAGGACTGCCTCCAAGAAAGATTAACTGTCCATACTTAAAAGTTTGTGCCCTTTTTTCAACCCAGGCTGTCTCTCTGAAGGAAGGGTCTAAAGTTGAGGCAGGAAGGATATGGGTGACATAGCAGTGTAAGGGAATTGCCGTCCGGGCTTTGGGTTGAATTCACCTCAAAGTTATCAACAGGTAAGTTTCAGGCCTCCAATTTGCATGAGCCCTTGCCAGGCTCACATCGGAGCTCTTGGCAGTATGTCTACTTGGCCACGTAGTCTTGTAAATTTGCAACAGTGAGTTAAGAATACATTTATTTTGGCTTCTGTGAAACATGTTTGTGTGGCTCTCCATCATTTACCTGTATGTTAAATTGCTGCCCGCTGTCCGGGTGTAGGGATGGCTGTCTGGAACACTCCTTCCACTGGTCCATATGCCACCTCATCTGATGTCAGGACAGGAAAGTGCTGGTCGTATTCTCCATGTGAATGCGTGCAATAATGTCCAACACCAAAAGTATTTGCAAAGTGGAGGAAAAACAAGGCTTGAAATAAACAAAGCCAGAAGCCAGTCTGTGGAAAAATTCTAACACTCCATTGTGTAAAATTGTAAGCAGGGATTCTGTTCTTAGCAATTACTGGTCAAAATGGAAGTTCTCCCTGGCCAGGAAGAGACCCAGTGATGCAGCATATATAATTATAAATATATGTCTCATCAGAGAAAGAGCTGCCTCCAGAGGCTCTGAACTTGATGACTACTTCTGTTTTTCCAATAGTGATACATTTTCTTTTGGCATTCTTCTCATAATTTTAAACACGCATGCCTCCTTGAATTTTTCTAAGCATAATGAGACAGTCTTTCCATTAAAAACTATTTAAACCTTGTGTACAGTTTTCTACTGCTGCCAACAAATCACCACAGCTTAAAACAACACAAATTTATTGTTACAACTCTGGAGTTTGACATGGGTCTCCCTGGGCTAAAATTGAGGTGTTCAGAGGGCTGCGTTCCTAATGAAGGCTCAAACATGAATCCTTTATCCAGTTCCTAAAGACCACTCATATTCCTCAGCTCATGGCTCCCGTCCTCTGTCTTGAAAGCCAGTAACATTGCATCTCTCTGAGCACTTTACACAAGTCACATCTCCTCCTGGGAAAGGTTCTAGGATTTTAAGAACTCGTGTGGTTAGGTTGGGCCTACCCAGATAATCCAAGATTATCCCCACCTCCCAGTACTTAATCATACCTTCAAAGTTCCTTTTGCCATGTAAAGTAAACATTCACAGGTTCTAGGAATTAAGAGGTAGGCATTTGGAGGAAGGGAGATGCATTATTCTGCTTACCACACCTTGCTAGGTAACAATGATATTTTAAGGGTCTGTAATATACTTTTAATGGGTAGGAAGAGAAACAAACAAAATGAAAAAAAAAATTGTTCCAAAAGTTGAAGCAACTTGAATATGTCTTTCTAAACTTTATTGGGAAGTTGCTTTAAAGATTTAAATAATACAAGTGAGACTTAACAGATTTGGACATATAGCAAAAGTATATTCTTTTGTCAACTTTAAATGTATGTATTAAGGAACAGAAAATTTATTTTTTAAAAATCAGTGGGTTTATTCTGCATGGCAAAGGAAACCATCTACAAAATTAAGGGCAACCCACCGAATGGGAGAAAATATTTGCAAATCATGTTTCTGCAGAGAGATTAATATCTAATATAAAAAGTGCTCATAAAACTCAATAGCAAAAAAAAAAATCTGATATAAAAAATAGGCAGGGGATCTGAATAGACATTTTTCCAGAGAAGATGTACATACGGCCAACAGGTACATGAAAAGGCACTCAAAATCATCACTAATCATCAGGGAAATGCAAATCAAAACCAGAATGAGATATGACCTCACACCTGTTAGAATGGCTATTACCAAAAAGACAAGAGATAATAAGTGTTGGTGAGGATGTAGAGAAAAAGGAGCCCTTGTGCCCTGTTGGTGGGAATGTAAATTGGTGCAGCCACTATGGAAAACAGTACAGAGGTTCCTCAAAAAATTAAAATAGAACTATTATATGATCCAACAATTCTACTTCTGGGTATTTATCCAATGGAAATAACAACACTAACTCAAAAAGATAGATGCACCCCTGTGTTCATTGCAGCATTATTTACAATAGCCAAAACAGGGAAACAACCTTAAGTGTCTATCAGTGAATGAATGGATAAAGGAATATATATATATATACACATATATATACGTAAAAAAATATATGTACATGTATATATATATCTTTATCATAGCTTCAAAGTCCCTTTATATATATATGTATATATATATGTGTATATATATATACACACACACACACACACATATAGGTACAATGGAATATTCTTCAGACACAAAAATTGAAGGAAATCTTGCCATTTGCGACAACATGGATGGACCTTGAGAGCGTTAGGCTGAGTAAATAAATCAGACAAAGAAAGATGAATACCATCTGATCTGACTTATGTGTGGAATCTGAAACCAAAATAAAGCAAAACCAAGCTCATAGATAGAACAGATTGGTGGTTGCCAGAGGTGGAGGGGTGAGAAGTGGGCAAAATGGGTAAAGAAGGTCAAAAGGTACAAACTTCCAGGTATAAGACAATTAAGTCATGGGTTGTATGTACAGCATAGTCGTAATACTGTATTATACATTTGAAAATTGCTAGGAGAGTAAATCTTAAAAGTTCTCTTCACAAGAAAAAAAATTTTTTTTGTAACTATGTACTGTGACAAATGTTTGCTAGACTTCATTTTGCAATATATACAAATATTGAATCGTTATGTTTACAGGAGAAACTAATATAATGTTATACATCCATTATAGCTCAATAGAAGAAATTATTAGGTCTATGAAGCAAAAGTGATAAAAACGAACCAGGAAATCAGTAGAAATTGTTTTGTAATTGAGAAGCAAATTGTAATACAGATTTTCAGATCATACCCGAAAAGGTAATTCAATAAGAGGAAGAGGCATATTTTGAATAGAATAATCAGGCAGTTGGATTGTTTTATAATCCAATGAACAAGGAGAAGAAAACCAGACGAACACACTGGGAAAATATTAAATTTCTTGTTGATTTGACCTAAAACATTGACATTGATAGACACTGCATAAAACTCCTATTAGTGCACTAAAAAGAGGATTTATAACAGCCTGGTGAATGAGTGCATTAATTCAAAAAACTTTTCAGATGAGCTACTGAACAACATCCTGAAATCCTACAATTCATATAAGAAAGACGTCTAGCACATATTTTCCCATATTTGACAAGTTCATAAAAATTTATACAGTTTTACCGACAGCAAATTGTGAAATGAAAGAAACATTCTAATCTATCAATAATAATGGAAGTGTCACTCAATCCATGCCAGAGGGAAGACTGAATTATGGCTCTATTCTTTCTCTATAAAGTAATAAAAAAATCATTGTCATCTGAAAGACAATAGGTGGCCAAAAAAGGTAAGGGTAAATAAAAACCACTGTGTGTTTTTGCAGGCAGTGAGTTCATGCAAATCCTATGTTCTGGGTGTTATGAATAGTATATGCCAGATTTTTTTAATTTTCTAATTTATTGTGATTTATTATTCTAAATAAATGTTTACCCCTGTAATTAATTTTGTAATGCTTGTCTTAAAGGGGCCTTACCAAATTGTACAAGCTTCAGGCCAGCAAAGCCCGGTTCCACCCCCTGATAAGTGAGGAGCCAATCTTTTCCTTCTCAGCACAACTTGGATCAAAAACGCAGCCTCTCTGGTGGGGCTGGGCTGGGTGCCCTGACCCTCATCTCCTAACTGCAGGTCCAGTCCACCCCCTCCATCCCCCGCCTCGCCTTCCACCTTCTCCCCTGGGCCCCTCTTCTTCCTCTCCTTCCTCCCGGCTGTGCATCTTTGGAGTCGACTCCCTCTGACCCCGATCCCCAAGCAATCATTTCACTCTCCTCTGCTTTTCCCCCCACTGCAGGCTCAGTTGCCCAGCAAGCCAGAGGGGACGACCCTAGGGAGGGCTTAAGAGGCAGAGAGCAGGGCTGGAGTCTCTGCCTGACCCTTCCTTCCAAGTCACCTCTCCCAGAGATGTCTCTGAATAAACCCTGGATTGCCAGCCCGTGGCCAGGAGCCCCAAGCCGAGAGGGCAGCTGGGTGCCAGGAGCTGAGAGCAGAGCCCAGCAACCCCAGGCCTGGGCTGGGTCACGAGGCTCCTCCTCACCCACTGGGCCTTGGAGCCTCCCAGGGTGCTTGTCAGGGAGGCGCTAGCTCCACCCTGCTGGCCTCCTGAAGTGCTCCCCACCCAGAGGGATAAGAATTTTGACCCTGTGATGAATAAGCACATTTCAACGGGAGGAGCCTGTGCAACAAAACCCAGAGGAGCCATT